GACCCTGAGATCAAGACCTGAGCCAAAATCGTGAATCAGAAATGCTTAACCTACTGAGTCACCCAGGCACCTTTTTGTTAAGATCTTTTTTTTTTTTTTTAAGATTTATTTATTTATTTATGATAGACATAGAGATAGAGAGAGAGGCAGAGACACAGGAGGAGGGAGAAGCAGGCTCCATGCCGGGAGCCCGACGTGGGACTTGATCCCTGGACTCCAGGATCGCGCCCTGGGCCAAAGGCAGGCGCTAAACCGCTGAGCCACCCAGGGATCCCCTGTTAAGATCTTTAAAGAGAGCAGTGGTTCCCATCCAGAAAGCTATGAGCTAATTCGAGTATTTCAGAAAGCTTAGTTAAAATCCTATATTAACCCAGATCAAGGATGTAGAAATTAAAATTCCTTTGTCTTTGGCTGGAATTCTTTCATCTTAGTGCTTATATACTAGGTCTTCCTTATTGATTAACTGCTTTGCTAGCAGTTATACTTTTAATGTTTTTTTACAGAAATGAAATGAATTTACTTAATTTATGCAGGTTAGAAACATGGAGCTTGTGAAGAGAAAACAAAATAAAAAGTGTGAGTCTTCAGTTAAAAACTTGATAATTTTTTATTTATTTATTTTAAAGATTTTATTTATTTATTCATGAGAGACAGAGAGAGGCAGAGACATAGGCAGAGGGAGAAGCAAGGCTCCTCGCAGGGAGCCCGACATGGGACTCCATCCCAGAACCCTGGGATCACAACCTGAGCTGAAGGCAGACACTCAACTGCTGAGCCACCCAGGCATCCCAGAGTATGTTTTTATTATATGACTTTTTTTATCCATTTATTAGGAATTGATGCCTTTGGCTTTATTAAATAGAAACACAGTTTGTATTTTAGTGCTCTGTTCTCAGTTGATAATATGTAAAAACAGCATAATAGCTATTGTTGCTTATGCCAGAAGTCACATATTTTTGTTGACTTTGTTGCTTCTTAGTTTTTGTTGTTGTTGTTGTTTTGTTTTTTGTTGTTGTTGTTCCTGTTTTGCTGTGATGGTTGATAACTTGGAGCACTATTAAAAACATTTCCGGAGGGATCCCTGGGTGGCGCAGCAGTTTGGCGCCTGCCTTTGGCCCAGGGCGTGATCCTGGAGACCCGGGATCGAATCCCACGTCAGGCTCCCGGTGCATGGAGCCTGCTTCTCCCTCTGCCTGTGTCTCTGCCTCTCTCTTTCTCTCTCTCTCTGTGACTATCATAAATAAATAAAAATTAAAAAAAAAATCTTAAAAAAAAAAATTCTGGACATGGGCTGCCTGACTGGCTCAGTCAGTGGAGCATGCCTCTCTTGATCTCAGAGTCATGAGTTCGAGCCCCACATTGGGCATGGAGCCTACTTTAAAAACAAAAACAAAACACATTTCTGGACATATAACTGTTTCCTCAATTCTTAGAACAGTGCTTTGTGCTCCATAAACGCTTGTTGGGTGAAATAAAATACTACATGTAAACAGTAATTAAAATTGAAGTAAACATTAAGATATAGAGGAATTAAAAGAATAATTACACAGTGACACAGAGCACCAGTGATTTATGTTAATTTTGAGATCCGAGAGAGTAGTAGTACTAGAAGCATGAATAACACTGTGCTTATCTCTGAAGGTCTGTTTCTTTGTTATACTAGGTAGTTGACATTCAGTTTCCTCAAATGGCCAAAATTTTACCCTATAATCTTATTTTGGTGTTTGCTCTTTGTTACTGAGTAAAATTATTTCAGAAATTCAGGAGTGGTATGAACTGGGTTACAGTAGCAAGGAAACTGCTGAGTGACCAGAAGTAGAGAACCGTAGGCCTCTTCCTCACTGGTCCCTCCACCATGTTGCCTAGGAGTTATAGATTAAATTAGGATAGTTTATAACTTTGTTACTTCACAATTTTAAATTCCCTAAGGAAGGAACCCAGGCAAGGAAGCAGATATCTCTATTAGAGCCTGTGTTGTGTGTGTAGAGGGAAAAACAATGCTGCTTGGGGAATGAAATTAAATTCTCATGTAGGGCAAGATGCAAGAGGAAAATAGGCTAGTGCTAGAGGACAGTAAAATAGGAAACCTTCTGGTCTTAATCCAAATCACAGTATTTACTTAGCTTTCTCTGTCTCACATTTGGTAACCGAAGATAGTTCCATTTGAAACAGTTCAACAAATGCTTACTGGGTGCCTACATTATGGCATATACTGTTTTAAGTGCTAGATTTATTTATTTATTTATTTTTAAGATTGATTTTATTTATTCACGAGAGACAGAGAGAGGCAGAGACACAGGCAGAGGGAGAAGCAGGCTCTATGCAGGGAGCCTGACGTGGGACTCGATCCCTGGTCTCTAGGATCATGCTCTGGGTAGAAGGTGGCGCTAAACCACTGAGCTACCTGGGCTGCCCAAGTGCTAGATTTATACTAATGAACAAAATACACTAAGTCCCTGGAAATAAAGAATTAAAAAGAAATTATACTATATCAGGTAATAAGATTTGTTTGCTTCAGTTATCTCTTGCTCTTTAACCACCCCAAAATTTACTGGCTTAAAAGAAATATTTTATTGTTTCTTAACATTCTATGGATTGAAAATGGCTCATCTGCTTAGTTCTTTAAGTCATCTTACTTGGGGACCTTAATTGGCAGGTGGGCTTGGAACACTGAGATGGCTCACTCTCCCAACATGGTTGTCAGATGGTGCTGGTTGTTCGGGTGCTCAGCTGGGCCTCAGTTCTTTTCCCTTTGTCCTCTCCTTGTGGCTTGGGCTTTCTTTCTCACAGCTCGTGGCTGGGTTCTAAGAGGGAGTATTCCAAATGTGCAAAGGCAGAAGCTACACATTTTTTAAGTCCCAGTCTCAGACTGGGACTACTGAGACTACTTTGTCACTTCTACCGCACTTTTTTTAGATTTATTTATTTATTTATTTGAGAGAGAGAGAGAGAGAGAGAGAGAGAGAGAGAGAGAGAGAGCGCGCGCAGGGGGAGGGGCAGAGGGAGAGAGAGAACCTTAAGGAGACTCCTTGCTAAGCGAGCCTGATGTGGGGCTCCATCTCACCACCCTGATTGTGACCTGAGCCAAGATCAAGTCAGATGCTCAACTGACTGAGCCACCCAGGCACCCTACTTCTACCACATTTTATTGATCAAAACAGGAAGGGAGAATGAACCACACCATTTGATGGATGGTGATGACAAGATCACACTGTGAAAGAACACCTAGGGTGGAAGATAATGTTGTGGCCATCTACAGAAACAGTCTACTACAGTGCTATTAAAACATTAAAAAAAAAAAAGGGTAGCACACCTACTGGTCCCATGGATCTGCCTGTCTTTTCGACAGTATTTGGATAGAATAGACCCAGGGACATCCCTTCTTCCAGTCTCCTACCACTCTCCAACCTCTTTTCCAATTGCAACCTTCCAGACCATCTTCTAAGTGCTCCCCTGCCTCTAAGACCAGCCAGCACTGTTTTTCTGAGCTTATTCCTTACTGCCAATCAAACATGAGCTCCCAGATACATCAGAACTATTCCACTGAGGTGGAGACTGCTGTCGACCACCTGGCCAACCTATATCTGTGGGCTTTCTATACCTACTTCTCTCTGGGTTTGTATTTCTACCATGATGTTGTGGCTCTGGCATTTCTTTTACAAGTTAGAAGGTGAAGGTGCCTAGTATCTCCTGAAGATACAAAACCAGTGGGTAGCCATGCCCTCTAACAGGAGGTGCAGAACTGTCCTAAGATGAGTGGGATGAAACCTTGGACACTTTGGGAGATGCTGTGGTTCTGGAGAAGAACCTGAATCAGGCCTTTATATATGTGCATGCCTGGGTTTTGCCTGTGCAGACCCTCATCTCTCTGACTTCTTGGAGAGCCATTTTCTAGATGAGCAGGTGAAACTCCCATCTAGAAGATGGACAACCACCTGACTGATGTCTGCAGATTGACTGCCCCCCCCCCCCCCCCGGTTGGACTGGGCTGGGCAAGTATCTCTTCCAAAGGTTCACCCTCAGCCATGACTAAAGAGTCTCTAGAGCCCAGTGGCCTCTGAGAGGCCCTCTGGCATCCCCCTGGTGTCAGGGCTTCTTCCTAAGCCTCCCCTTGCAGCAATTAGGCAGCTTTTTACCACCCTGGAGCCCTCACCCAAGTCAAGGACTAGATGGAAACAACAAAGCTTTTTGAAGCAAAAAAATAAATGAAGCAGGTTAATAGAAGGAATAGGAAGCAAAAAATACAGCATTGTATGTCAGGGAAGGCCCTTCCTAGTGAAGCAACATTTCAAATACTGATGGAAATAAGAAAGTGAGAGAGTGAGCCATGTGAGCCATAAGAATATCTTAAGGAAGCATATTCCAGGCAGAAAGAATAGGAAATGTAGAAACTCTACATTTGGGGTTGGGAGTGGGGATGGGAGAATCCCTGGTATGATCAAAACCTAGCAAGGGCAGTGTGACTGGAATGGAGTGATAGAGGCAATGAGGGTGGGCATGGAGTCAGCAAGAAAGGAAACATTTTCTAGCTCATGGCAAAGGACTGGATGTTGTGTGAGTGAGGTGGGAATCTGTTGGAAGATTTTGCACAGAGGAGTTAAATGATCTGACTTAAATTTTAGACGAATCCTGTTGTGAGAATCTTTGGCTTCCATTTTGAGAATAGACTATTAAGAGGACAAGAGTGGAATCAGGGAGGCAAATCAGTAAGCTAGTGCCTCCTCGTGAGATGACAGTTGGATTTGGGTTGTATTTCAAAGGAAGACTGACAGGATTTGCTAATGAGAGTGGATATGGGGTGAGAAAGAGGGGTCAAGGATGACTTTCAAAGTTTTTGCCCTAGGTACCTGGAAAACTTGAATTTTCATTTACCAAAATGGGAAGACTGGGAGGAGCAGGGTGGAGGTGAGGGAGATATAAGACTTGTATTTTTAGCTATGTTAAGGTGAAGAAGACATCCCAGGGGAGAAAGGTTACTAAATGTTACTTCCTCATTGCAGGTGTGACGTTGAGTGCTTCAGATCTGGTCACTATGGTACGAGAACGAAAATGCATATTGTGCCACATTGTGTACAGCTCAAAAAAGGTAATAAATAGAAGAGGGAGAATCTGAAGCTTTATGACTGATCTTTTTTTTCTTCCAAAGACATGGGATTTGTAGATGGATAAAAGCTTTTAACAGTGTCTTATTAATGCTTCTTTTGTAATCATAGTCTCATTCCACTGGTTTCTCTTTTATTAGCTCATAAAGCCAATAACTATATTATTAAATCTCTACCCAGAATTTGAGGATTCTCAAAAGTTGATAATCGTTACTAATTTAGTTTGTAACCAATTATAGAGAAATACCTTAAAATTCAGTTTATTTGAGGTTATACTACTTTTTTTTTTTAAGATTTTATTTATTCGTGAGAGACACAGAGAGAGAGAGAGAGAGAGGCAGAGACACAGGCAGAGGGAGAAGCAGGCTCCCTGCAGGGAGCGGGCCAAAGGCAGATGCTCAACCACCGAGCCACCCAGGTGTCTCAAGATTATACTACTCTGATTAGCTAAGGATACAGCATTTGTTGTCTGTACCTGGATTCTGTTTCTGCCTTTGCTTGTGAAAGAAAAGTGCAGCACATCAGAAATGGTGTTAACAGTATCCTAGCTGTCCACAAGGTGGGGATGTTGCTCAGAGAAAAACGCATTTTTAAGAACTAAAATAATTTACCTATACCTCAGGGAAATTGGCTGCAGTTTGTCTCATTGTTTTGCTTTTTCTTGTCTTTATCCTTTGCTTTCAAAGTAGTACTGATTTAACTACTGAGAAATTTTTTTCTAAGCTTTTAGGATGCTTTGGATTGTCCTTTAAAATTTGGAGAACTGAGAAGATTATCATGAGCTAGGTTAGCCTGGGAGGTGTAAGTGAACCTGGAAAGATGTTTGGAAGTAAGCTGGCTTCAGAGAAATAGAAGAGAGAGAGAGATTTTAGCAGTATAACAACATGTACAGAGATACAGAGGTAGAATGGAGTGTGAGTTTTAGGAGTCTGTGAGAAGGCTTATCTGATTAAAACAGTTTTGTACTGGAGATAGTGGGACTGCAATATAATCTGTAATTTAGATGCAGACAGTTATAAAACTGTTGAATGCTAGACTAAGGGGTTCCATTATGATCCACCCCCTAGGCTGGGGTGAAGATTTTTTTTTTTCCTCTTTAGGATTTCTGTTAGTGATGGAAAAATCAGATGAGATTTTAAAATCATGTTTAATAATATTTGCCTGTTACAAAAGTAAAAGAACTGTTCTTCTAGTTTTAAATTTTTTTGACCAGGGTTTATGCAAATTTATCATAAATAAAAATTCTTTATGGCTCCTTTCAGATTAGGGAGAGATGGGAGATTGAGAAGGTGTGAAAGGGATAGGCGGACACTCAGAGATGTGGTGTTACACTTTTGTGGAGGAGCAGCCCTGTCTTGATGTCTCATAATTTTGTCATTTTAAGCCTTTTGGCATTTCTTCTATTCTGTTTTAAAACACATTTTCATCTCTTCCTGTTTTTCCATGGATCATAATGAAAAAATAAATCATAAGCTGGGATTACCCACTCCTGTTTTAGGAAATGCCAATTACAGGTTTTTAAACAAGGAAATTGCATGATTTAAGTGTTAGGATTAATGTAGTCTAAGAAATTAGCATAATGGGCTATTTGAAAGAGATAAGTTTGATACTTAGTTTTATTTAGATAGATTATGAACAAGTTAGGTTGAAGCAGTGCTTTCCTCTAGTCTCCCAAACTAGTGTAACCCTGATTTCTTCAAATGTACCGGGGAGAAGAAAAAGAATCTAAAGTGCTCTAAATATGGGAAAAAGCTGTGTGCTGTATCCCTGAGTATTATGCTCATTAATTTTTTTATTTTTATTTTTTTCAAGGGTTTTAATTTATTTATTGGAGAGGGAGCATGAACAGAGGGAGGGGCAAAGGGAGGTGGAGAAATAGACTCCCCACTAGAGAAGCCCTGGAGTTAAAAAATACTAAAAAAATTCTCTTGTATTAGTCAGTGTTTTCTACATTTGTTCAACTGCCAAGTCTTTAAAAAACAAAAACAAAAACAAAACTCCTTCTTCTCCCTTCTTTAAAAAAACTGATAATGATTAATATGCAGGAACTAAATAGAAGCTTGGTAACTGAGCAAGTATGCATTTGGGCTATTACTTTAATCCTGTGCTCATGGATTTTTCCTAGTTATTTTGAAAGCTTAGGTTGTCACACTATTTGCATTCATCCCTTGAAGCAAGGTGGGAGAGAATTTCACATGTAAATTTAGGAAAAGATTTGTGAAGTATTCTAGATAATCAGAAGTCATGCTTAAACAAATTTTGAATGATAATATTTTTATAATTGAAATAGAATACAGGATTGATTTTTATATCAGAAAATAACCTATTTCAGTGAATGCTGCTTTGATCAGGAATGGTTTCATTGCAAGAAACAGAACCAACAGGAGCACCTGGGTGGCTCAGTCAGTTAAGTGTCTGTGTTTGGCTCAGGTCATGATACCAGGGTTCCAGGATTGAACTCCATGTCAGGCTCCCTGCTCAGGGAGGAGCCTGCTTCTCCCTCTCCCCACTGCTCATGCTTTCTCTATCTCTCCCTCAGGTAAATAAATACAATCTTAAAAAAAGAAAAGAAAGAAAGAAACAGAACCAAGTTAAATTTAGCTCAAACAAAGGGGATTTGGCACATGTAAATCTAATATAAGGAAAAATTGAACAAAAGGATACATGGGGATTTGAGCAGGGGTTGTGTATTATTCATGGTTTTTTTTTCATTCTTGATTGTGTTGCTAATTTGACTCCGCTTTCAGCTCTGTAAGTGTTCATTCTAGTTAGTGGCCAATCAATTGTAGGTAGAAGGGGGTGGATCACATGTAAAGCTATCCCCTCCAAGGGAAGCATTTGTAGATAGGAAGGAAATGATGGTTGTCTTCAGTATAATTGCCATTTAAAGAAAGTGTTTAGAATCACAAAGCTGGGAAGCCCGGATGGCTCAGTGGTTTAGCGCCACCTTCAGCCCAGGGCGTGATCCTGGAGACCCGGGATCAAGTCCCATGTCAGACTCCTTGTATGGAGCCTGCTTCTCCCTCTGCCTGTGTCTCTGTCTCTGTCTCTCTCTCTCTCTCTCTCTCTCTCCCTCTCTCTCTGTGTGTGTGTGTGTCTCTATGAATAAATAAATAAAATCTTTAAAAAAAAAAGAATCACAAAGCTGTTTGTCACACTGTTGTAGATAAATTAAGACTAAGTTATTGGGTGGTTGTATTCTTTCTGACAAATGAATTGTATATAATGAAAAATCTCAAAGCACTAGATGGTTGGAGTGTGACATAGTATTTAAAACCTTGGCTGTTGGGGATCCCTGGGTGGCTCAGCAGTTTAGCGCCTGCCTTTGACCCAGGGCGTGATCCTGGAGTCCCAGGATCGAGTCCCACATCAGGCTCCCTACATGGAGTCTGCTTTCCCTCTGCCTGTGTCTCTGCCCCCCTCTCTCTCTCTCTGTGTGTGTCTCTCATGAATAAATAAATAAAACCTTGGCCATGGTGTCAGATATGTGAGGATCCGAGTCCTCATTTGACCACTTGATTATCTGTGACTCTGAGAGGGCAGGAACGAATGTTTTCACACTTATCCCTTCAGTGCCTAGTTCTATACTTGGCATTTAATAAGCAGTAATAAATAGTTGGTGAATAAATAAGTTAGTTTCTATGTATCCTTGTATACTTATGAAATTAATAATATTCCATCAGCAGTGTTTTGCAGTTGATATGAGGAAATGTTAGAGGCACTTAAACACGGTACAGTCAATAGTAATACTCAACAATTATAGTATTATTATATTATTATATATATGAGCAGCCATTCTCTGATTTTGGCATGTTGCCTACATATATGTCCACATGACAAAGGGATAGATATTTACAGCTTTTGAGTGTTTTAAGATATGTGTGCATGTGTGTGCGCATGTTTTTAAGTGGTAGCTCTTCCCACAGATTTTGTTTTCCTGCCACTAAAGATGGGTTGGAGGAATGGGAGACCCTAGTAAATTTTCAAAGATTTCATTAAAATCAAGCAAATCAATTGGGGGAGAATGGGCAGTGAAGATGAAGGCATTATTGAGCTGCTGTGTTCTAAGCAGTTTTTAAAAACTTTTTTTTAAAAAAACAACAATAATCATTTTATTGCTTATAGTTTCTTTTTTTAATAATAAATTTATTTTTTTAAAATTTTTATTTATTTATGATAGTCACACACAGAGAGAGAGAGAGAGGCAGACACACAGGCAGAGGGAGAAGCAGGCTCCATGCACCGGGAGCCCGATGTGGGATTCGATCCCGGGTCTCCAGGATCGCGCCCTGGGCCAAAGACAGGCGCCAAACCGCTGCGCCACCCAGGGATCCCAAATAGGTTTTTCTTAATAATTAAGAATGAGGGCAGCCTGGGTGGCTCAGCGGTTTAGCGCCACCTTCAGCCCAGGGTGTGATCCTGGAGACCCAGAATCGAGTCCCACATTGGGCTCCCTGCATGGAGTCTGCTTCTCCCTCTGCCTGTGTCTCTGCCTGTGTGTGTGTGTGTGTGTTTCTTGTGAATAAATAAATAAAATCTTAAAAAAAAAAGAATGAAATAACCTCAAAAACATAGCTGAAGAAATATAATTCTGGAATTCAGGAACTGATTTCAATATTGAATTGAGAAGGGTAACCACGACACTTATGACACAAAGAGATTGAACCCCAATTGTTGATTGAATAAAAACAGAGGAATTTTTTTTCCCAAAGCAATCCCCCTTAGTTTAATCTGCTTTCTTTAATTTTGAAGGAGATGGACGAACACATGCGGAGCATGTTGCATCACAGGGAACTTGAGAACCTGAAGGGCAGGTATGGGAACGGCTGTCTTCCATCAACTTGTGACTGTCGGGGGATCTGAGTGCTGAGGGTGCCTGTTAGCTTATTTTATAATAATCCTTCAGAAATAAATATGGTCCTATGACATGGAACTATCTGTAGAGTTATTAACAACTACAGTAGCTTTTTGGCATTCAAAAAGGATAAACCGTTGTGCATCTCAAATGTGTAGAATTCACAGCAGCTCTTGCTAGTAGATGGCAACAAGGGTGGGTGGGGATGAGCTAGTTCTGTCTCATTAGTATGTTTTCTCATTGCAATACACCAGCCTTGAAACTAAGACATTGCTATGTTGTTGCCTCAGCAGTGTTATAAGTTCTTACATGCCAGAAACCTGTAGTGTTGCTGCAATAGTCTGAGAAGTCCAAAGTCGGCTGAATAAGCACTGGGCCTCATCAGGGTACAATCTTGAATACCTATCTAAGAAGGCTATTTTTTGATGCAAAACTTGAGATGTTTAAACAAAGTCTAATTAAAGTAAGCACCTTTAAAAAGTTAAATGTAGCATATATGTATATTCTATGTCTTTTTTTTTTTTTTCCATCTCTGGTTCTGTTTTGATGTTTTTGACTTGAATTTGAGATTTGGAGACAGGGAACAGAAAAACATTAGGAAAGTGAGAAATATTAAATTTTATCTTATTGCGTAAAAAATAAATACAAGCTTTGATCATGATGCCAGGCTGAGTCATTTGAAGTTATTCGTATTTTAAGTAACACAGTTTTAGATTGGGCAAATTAATATATTAGTAAACATTCAGCATCTCTTTAGCATATTTGTGGAATTTTTCCATGGTCTTCGTTTCTTACTATGTGAGGGTTTGTCTTAGCAGCAATAAAAAGGAGGCTTTCATTTAGATTTAGTGTGGAGAATTCTTATCATAATACCTTGAATACATATGATCTTTAACTCAATATCATTGGAAACCTATGAAATACAGTCAACCTTTGATTCTCTAAATGGGCAAAGTAGGTAGTAAGGAAAAACAATTGACAAAACTATAAAAAACAAAATCCCAGAAATCACTTACTTCTTTGGAGCATTTACTGTAGTGACAAACTCTGATCGCTAATTCATACTATAGAGACAAATAGTTACTGGTCATTCTTTTTCCTTTGTCTCATCAGTTTGTGATTATTTCTGTGGAATTCATGTTTAGTACTGGCTTTCTGATGTTAAAGCTTTGTTTCTCTTCATATTTGTGTTACTGTAATTTTTGGCTGTGATCTGGTTAAGAAATTTAAAAAGCATATGTTTTAGATTTTGAATACAAATTTGAGAAGTAAGAAACTTTATTACTTGGTTCAAAATTTTGGACATCTGAAGCATCTCTCTCTTTTTTTTCCCCCAGTATACTTATTCAGATGTGTGGCCTGTTTCTACAGATAAATGCTATTAAAAGGGCACAAACCTTTATTTATCAACCAGCTGTTGTGGTATAGTTAGAGCAAGCTTAATAAAGAAAAGCTTAAGGGTAGAATATCTTAAGGCCCTGCCTTTCACACATGAGAGGAAATTGTGTGGTAACAGGATGAAGTTAATCCTCCTTTGAATGTCCTGAGGACAGTTTTTGCCTTTGTTAGTCAAGAAGTAAAGCAGTACTTTCCCCCAGCAATTACTTTATATAGTCATACAAAGTAGTATTTTAACTGATTATTGATAGAGAATTGGAAAATAGCGTCATTAAAATATTAATTTACCACTAACTTTTTAAAATATGTGGTTTCCCTAACATCATAGTAGAAGCATGAATGCCTGTTGTATGTAGAACAGGTAATATGCTTTCCTCTAAATACAGACACATTTGCATTTTTAAGAAATATGGTGGTGCTAACCTGTTCTTTCCCTAGATAAATGTGGATTCTCTCTTTTCTCTCTTTTTTTTTTTTTTTTTTTTTTAAGATTTTGTTTCTTTATTCATGAGAGACACAGAGAGGCAGAGACAGGCAGAGGGAGAAGCAGACTCCATGCAGGGAGCCTGATGCAGGATTGGATCCTGGGACTCCTGAGATCACACCCTGGGCCAAAGGCAGATGCTCAACCACTGAGCCACCAGGCGTTCCCTTCTCTTTTCTCATTTTGATGTTTCTTGCAAAGATTCTCTTTTTTTAAAGTAGAATTCATTTATAAGAAAAATCTTAGGAATTTTTGTTTTTGGACGTTTGTTTTTAGTGCTTTTATTTTACACTTATTGACTATACCCTTGTGGGCAGGGTCTCTTTTTGATGTTTTTCTATTAAATATAACTTTAGAACTAAGGTTAATACCCTTTCTTACAAGAAAAGCACATAGGTTTTAAAAATCTTTGACTGTTTGTTACATATCCAACATATGTCTGTGCTTTGGGGATTGCAAAGTGTGTGGGTTTATGATTGTGGATATTTATTTTTAACAAAGTTAAATATTGTCTGTATTGCATTCCTTAATATTTTAAACAGTACAGTCTTCCAGCTATATCTGTAAAGAGAGGGATTTTGATGGTTTGGACATGAGGAAAAGTTCTCTATTTTAGAAGGGTATAATCAGTAATTTTATTTAAGAACACCTTTAGGAAAGATGTCCTTGGTACAACAATATACAGTTTAGCATTCTACAAGTTTTTATGTAGAAAAGTAGACTAAAACGTTTTTCATAGTTTTAGATAATTTAAAACTGAAAAGATTTTCTAACCAGAAAATTCAGTTGATTCAAATTTTCTTTTTAACTTTACGATTTAAGTTTAAAAAAATTTTTTTTTATTGAAGTATAGTTGACACACAATGTCACATTTGCTTTCAGTGTAGGACATAATGATACAACACCTCTATGCTCACCATAAGTATGATTCAAATTTTTATGATACTATAAAGTATGTATTCTAGTTTAGTTGCAGTGTTGAGACACTACGAATGCTGGACAGATTTTTACTTACTTTTTTTTTTTTTTAAAGATTTTATTTATTCATGAGAGACACAGAGAGGCAGAGACACAGGCAGAGGGAGAAGCAGGCTCCCTGTGGGGAACCCGATGTGGGACTTGATCCCAGGATCACGACCTGAGCCAAAGGCAGATGCTCAACCACTGAACCACCTAGGCACCTCTACTTACATATTTTTAACTTCTTTTTGTGTTTGCATGAGAAAAGGCTTGATTTCTGTTACATGTTAACACTTTATATGAGCTACCATAATTTTGAGAGAAGAATTTGGGGTATTCTCAGCAAACTGGAGGAATTTGAGGATTATTCTTTAGTGGAAAATGCTCAGTGGAAATAATAGACTTAAGCTTTTTGGAGGATTGAAAGGAGTTAGAATATTGATATACAAGATAATAAGGAAAATGAGATTTTTCAGGGAACCTGGTTGGAATTCATTAAAATGAATCTTAATGTCAGAGACTACATTGTATTCAGAGCATTTGAAGTTACACAGTTCAAAAAAAGGTAAAAACTTAGGAGTTTTCTCCATTTTTCTGAGGTGTTTTCCATGATTCTCACAAGGTGAAAAACTGTTTTGTTTGATTTACTGGGCATTATTTCTACTTTGTCATGCTGGACAACTGTAACCATATAGTTAGCATGGTGCCCAGAATTTAGTAGGTAGTCAGCTAGATTTTTGTTTTTAAATGAATGTTCAGGTGGTCTATAACAGAAGCCATCTTTTGGTAAATGAAGTGCTCAGTTTTGAGGTTCTCTTCTGGTTGATATGAAATCTGCCATGACTTTATAGATATATTTGAGGGGAGGATGGAACAGTGTTGTGCATGCGTGTGTGTGTGGTGTGTGTCTGTCTGTCTTATTAAAGACAGGCATGTCTATTTGTTAAGATTGGCATAGGGAGATAATTTGTCAGTGGAGAAAACACCAACTTAAATCTACATAACTACCCTTACCATTGTTTTCCATGCTTTTCCCAGTTACTTCCCATAACTGTTTCTCCTTCCTGCTTTTCTTTTACCTTTAGCTGAAGATGGTATTTAAGTTGGTGGCTTAGGTTACCGAGGAGAGTTACTCATTTTTCCTGAGTGTCTCTCATGTATACATGGGATATACATGGTAATAAGCTTCTACTTGTTAAATAAATAAATAAATAAATAAATAAATAAATAAATAAATAAATAAATAAATAAAAGAGATTGACACAGGAAGTGCAAAAATATCACTAGTGTATGTATACCCAACACAAGTGATACAGAATTAAGTCTGTTGGGCCATTATTGAATGGCTTTTACTGTCGTTCATTACACTTGTGGCCATGATGTTCAGATGTTTCTCATCAATGGCTGCATAGATAGGTGAACCAATCAAGAGACTTCAGGAAGCTAAGAAAGCTGTTAAATTATTCATCTACTATAGCTTTGGGTGTTGATTCAAGATGTTGATTTCTTAAACTGGCCAAGTATGAGATTTACCACTGACTGTATAAAGTAAAAGAAAAAGAAAACATGCTCAGTTTTAAGAACCTAGTTTTGCTTCTCTCTAAACTTTTGCATTTTCTGAAACTTGAGAAAACCATTTGTCTGGCACAGCTGTTAACTTCCTACAACTGAAATACTTTCCATTCCCTTTTAAATAAGCCCCTCTGAAGCAGAATGTAGGTCACATGTATCATCCAGACAAAAAAGTTTGCTGAGACGACTCCTATCATTTGCCCTAGGGTCCGGAATCTTCACATTCCAGGCAGAGCTCCAGCTGTCCTGATTTAGTCACCACATTGGGATTGGCTAGGCTGCCTACTCTTTTCTCCACCCCTTCACTTTCACTGGGAGAAAGCTCTTGAGCCTGAGATAAAATGTCAGCACTGTCACCAGGCTTCTGAGTGCAGCTGGCATCATGGGTGTGCTCTAGAGCAACTTCTGTTTGCTCTGAGCCCCCTGCCCTGCCTCCCCTTTCACCATGTTTCCTCTGGCAAGATTTTAAGTACAGCAATTCAAGAAGATTTCTCCTCCTAAACTAATTATTCTGAAGTGTATTGCCTCTTGATTGCTGGAAAAGAATCTTAAAATCATTTCAAAAATAACTTATGAACAAACTTATTAAAAGTGATGAAAGGAGCATTGAAATTGATTAGCATTAATTTTTCACTGTGCGAAAGTGTGCAGTGTTTTTCAGAGGAAACTATAATAGATCTGTTGAGCGTGCCATGCCAGTGGGGAGAATTGAATGTCCCTCATCTCCCTCTTTCCCTAGGGACAGTAGTCATGAGTGCCGAGTGTGCGGGGTCACAGAAGTGGGTCTTTCTGCATATGCAAAGCACATTTCTAGCCAGTTGCACAAGGATAATGTTGACGCCCAGGAAAGAGAAGATGATGGAAAGGGAGAAGAAGAGGAAGAAGATTATTTTGACAAGGAACTCGTTCAGTTAATAAAACAAAGGAAAGAACAAAGTCGGTAAGTAATGATTTTGATTTTTAAAAAGGCTGTCTGAAATAGAATAGAGAGTACATTTTCCATTTCTATACTTTTCAGCCTATAGCTTTCAAACTTAACTTCATCGCCAAAGATTAGCTTGAGATTGCTGTCTTGTGCATAAATGGTCAATGGAATTCTTTCTTGAATATGAGCTGTTTTTTAAAAAAATGAACTCAGAAAAAAAAAAACCCAACTCAGTATTGCCTCTCTATAAAAGTTAGCTATAGGTGCAATATATCTGAAATCTTTACTATGTTTACAACTATTTATATTGGTTCTGGTTTTTTTTTTTTTTTTTTTTTGGTTGGGGGATACTAGTGAATTGTATGGTATCCAAAATTAGTGGAAAGGTATTAATGGATAAGCTTTTATATATATAAAAGATTTCTTACTATGTCCATTAGGAAAAAATGTTTTGCCTGATATGAGTTAACACGGTGTTTCTACCAAATTTGATATATCCTTTATTATTTAGTATTTCAGTAAATATTTATTGAATAAATTTGTATTTTAAGTTTGACAATGTCAAAATCAGTGTAAGTTTTCTAGATTATTCTGTATAATTTGATACATACAGCTCTAATTCAAATATTAGGCTTTTGTATTTTTGCATTACTGAGTTGTGGTCTAAAGAGTTTAATTAATGAAGCAAAAATTTTCAGATTTCTCTTTCTTTTCGGTAAGAGAGAGAGCTGTCAAGAGGCCGGGTAATTTTTTCAAGTCTTAAAATATAATGAGAAACATTATAAATTCTAAAATAAATTTGTAAAAATTCTTTCTGAATACTAGTTATACTTGGTATGCACTTCATTTTTAGTTAGAGGTTTAGTATAAAGAAAATAGTTTTCACTATATGTGCTACAAGTGTTTTGAACAGGCCCTTAAAACATTAAGAGCAGCATAGTTCTTAAACTGGTTAGTTGTTTAGTCCTTCAAATGACATTGTTAATACTTTCACTATAGCTGTAGTTTACTCTTGTTTAAGAAGACTAACTTTTTTTTTTCTTACACACTTGTGCCATTATTAGCTAATCTGTAGATGATTAAACATTTAAGTCAGAAGGTAAAAGGAGCTCAGTAAGTTAGATGTTCATATCATAGTTAATCTTCTTTGAATATTCTGATATGCTTCCTTGGTGATTTATTTATAGTCATTGACTTAGTTCTTTCATTTCTTCCTTCATGGGGTTTTTAAATTTAGATTGCTTTTTCTGGGCCTTGGATTTAGCTACATGCTGTTGTCCCCTCGATCTAGCTAATTTACTGTGATCTAGGAAGTCTTGATCTTGTGACAGATTTATTGTCTGATTCTCCCATTTCTGGATCCCATCAGTGTAGCCTAGTCAGTATTTCCTTGGTTGTCAAAGGTTGTATACTGCTTAGAAACAAAAGATAAAAGCACTTTGGAGTGGTGTTACAAAAATCCTGCACATGCATGTAATAACACTTGCCACTTGGGGACTTAGGGTCTCCTGTTTAGAAATAGTTTTAATTTATAATGTAAGTGGATGTTTGAACTTTCAGGTAAACTAACTTTTTAATTCCATCTGTGGAAAAGGAGGAAATTCCGATTTGTGTTCAAAATTTTGGAGACCGAAGCTTTTAGAACCAGTTCAAGTCACTACTGAGTTAAGTCACTAAGAGAAGGGAGCCCAACAGTAAAAACTTAGTTTAGGGATTTTGGGTCTAGAGTCAGACTGCTAAGGATCACATACTGCTTCCTAGCTGTCTTACTTCAGGCATGCTCCTCAGCCTTTCTGGTACTCAGTGTCCTCATCCAAAAAGTAGGAGTAAGAAGAATAATTGCTTCAGGGCCATGAAAAGTAAATGAGATATTCTATATAAAGTGCTTAAAATGCCTGACACTTAGTAGGTACTCAGTACATTTTAGCTAGTATTAGTTTTTTGAGCACCTACCTCATGTTAAGTACTAGGCCAGGCATACCATGGGCAGTTTGTAGAGGAAAGAGATTTTACACCTATTCCTGTGATGTTTACTTAAGTTTATTCACAGTTCTTTGGGCTCCTTGTCAAACACAAATAGTTGAAACAGCTGTAGCTTTATAAAAACCTCTAGCTCATGGAGCTCCTAATAGCACTGACTGCTGGTACTGCTTATTTGGTGTGTGCTATTTTACTCCTGTTTGTGATCTTTCTCAGCTAGGCTGTAAGCCTTTTAGGAATGAACTATACATAAAAGTTTTCTTTTACCACAAACAGTCATTGAATGTGTGCTTAATAAAGTGTTTAGTTAATTAATGAAAGTGATAATGCAACGTGAAATCTGAGCATTTAAAATAGGTTAAGAAACTGGGTTTTGGAGAAAGAACTTATAACTGGAAAAATCCACAGTATTAAGAGTCACTGTACTTAAGTAGTATTAATTATAACTAGCCAAAGTTACAAAATATAATTGTGCTTCTTTTTAAACAACTGCATAATGTAAAAATAATAATTGGATGATAGGGACAAAAGCCCCAGAACATGCTAAGAAAAATAGGAGTAGGAAATAGTAAGAAAAATAGGAGCAGGTGGGTACTATATAAATGTGTCATATTTTTAACATTTCTGAGGTGATAACAGAAACAAGATATTGTTTAATGTCTAAATCAGTAAATTGTGAAATATAAGTTGAGCTCTATCATTTAATTTTTTTTATTTTTTTTATTTTTTATTTTTTTTTATTTTATGATAGTCACAGAGAGAGAGAGAGAGAGGCAGAGACACAGGCAGAGGGAGAAGCAGGCTCCATGCACCGGGAGCCCGATATGGGATTCGATCCCGGGTCTCCAGGATCGCGCCCTGGGCCAAAGGCAGGCGCCAAACTGCTGCGCCACCCAGGGATCCCGAGCTCTATCATTTAAAGATCAGAAAGCTGCCACTATTAGAAATAAAAATAGATTCTATGTTCTAAGGAGAGAGATACATAGTAGGAAGTTTGATGGGTTATGCTTGTAAAGGAAGCATGATGATTTCTTTAAATCTCTCATGGAAAACTGTTTCTTCCAGGCAAGATGAACCTTCCAATAGCAGCCAAGAAATAAATTCTGATGACAGGCGACCCCAATGGAGACGGGAAGACCGAATACCTTACCAAGACAGAGAGAGCTACAGTCAGCCAGCATGGCATCATCGTGGACCTCCTCAGCGAGACTGGAAGTGGGAGAAAGATGGCTTTAATAATACTAGGAAAAACAACTTTCCACATTCTTTGAGGAATAATGGTGGACCAAGAGGATGTTCTAGGTGGCATAAGGGAGTTGCAGGAGGCTCCTCAACTTGGTTTCACAACCACAGTAATTCTGGAGGTGGTTGGCATTCAAATAGCGGAATGGTAGATTGGAATCATAATGGTACAGGAAGGAATTCCAGTTGGCATTCTGAGGGAACAGGTGGCTTTTCCAGTTGGCATATGAACAGCAGTAACGGAAACTGGAAATCCAGTGTACGTAGTACAAATAGTTGGAATTACAGTGGCCCTGGAGACAAATTTCAACCAGGCAGAAACAGAAATTCTAACTGTCAAATGGAAGACCTAACTATGCTATGGAACAAGAAATCTAAGTCAAACAAATATAATCAAGAGAGATATAGTTGGCAGCGGCAAGAAAGCGACAAAGTTGGTACAGCTGCCACGTACAGAGTTCCTTCTGAAGGATTTACAAGTGATAAATTTCCTTCAGAAGGCTTACTTGACTTCAATTTTGAGCAGCTAGAAAGCAAAACTACTAAACAGACAGATACCACAGCTTCCAAAATTGGTGGGAAGAATGGCAGTGCAGCGAGGGAAAAGCTCCATCGCTGGACTCCTTACCCTTCCCAGAAGACTCTGGATTTACAATCAGGAATGAAAGAAATCACTGGTAATAAGTCAGAAATGATAGATAAGCCTTTCTTTGACTTTAGCTTGACAACCACAGGAACACCAGAGCCCCAGATCGATGAAACAAATAATTCCCCAACGATGAAAACACAAAAAGAAACACATACTGGATCTCTTAGTCACAAAGCCCCTTCTGACTGCACTGCTTCCTATGAGGCAGTGAGAGATTGCCCCATTCCAGAAAAACACGAACAAGAACTTAACCTAAGTAAGATGCCATCATTAAAATCTGGACTCCTTCCAATTCCAGTCACCAATTCAGTTCCTCAAAAGCCAGATTTAAAGAATCCCTCAAAAAACACCAAAACAAATTCTTTTTTTCCTGGAGAACACGCAAATCCCTTGAACAAACCCACTATAGAAGAGAATCATGGGTCTTATATAACAAAATTGCGAAGTTCATGTCCTCATGTTTTAAAAGGGAATAAAAGTACATTTGGCATTCAGAGAGAATCTGATGAAAATTTAGGTGACACATTACAAAAAGCCAAAGAGATGCTACAGTGTCATGAGTCATTGCAAAATCCACTTCTTGGCACTTCTAAAAGGACCAGGAACTATGCAAAAGCAAATAGGAATGTAGAAGAGTCTGAAAAAGGATCTTTGAAGATAGAGTTTCAGGTACACACATTAGAAGATGAAAGTGATGGGGAGCTATCTGACATGGAGAAGCATGGAACAAAACTTGGAACCGTGGGCTCTGCCACTGCAGAAGTGTTACCCTGCAGCACTCATATCACTGATGAAAAAGAGGAGGATGACCAAAACTCGAAAACATGTAGAGAACTATCCACTAACACATGTAATGCGACAGTTCATCAGAAGGAACCTGAGTTACAAATGACGTCTGCAGCCAGTTCACACTCTGGCTTACTGCAAGACTTAAAAACTTCTGTAGAAGATGCACAGGGTGATGACCCTGTTAAATCTCATGTATCTTATGAAACAGAAGGCTTTGAGGGTGCTAGTTTGGATGTAGAGCTTCAAAAAAACGATATAGGTCAGTCCTCAGGCCCTCTTCTGCCTGAACTCAGTAAGCTTGGCTTTCCTGCCTCTCTCCAGAGAGATCTAACCCGGCACATTAGTTTGAAGAGCAAAACTGGAGCACACCTTCCTGAGCCAAACCTCAATAGTGCTCGTCGCATTCGCAATATTAGTGGCCATAGAAAGGGCGAGACAGAGAAGGAATCTGGGCTCAAGCCAACCCTTCGGCAGATTCTAAATGCATCTCGGAGAAATGTCAACTGGGAACAGGTCATCCAGCAAGTAACCAAGAAAAAGCAAGAGCTAGGCAAAGGCTTGCCCAGGTGTGTACCTCCTTTTTCTCTTTTAAACTTACCCTTTGACCTTATCAAGAGAATTCTGCTTGTTATATTTAATTAAATGTCTGTAATATATATATATATATATATATATATATATATATATATAGTAGATGTCTGTTTTAAATATCAAAGAGTATTATAGAGTATTACTCTATAATAAATGCAATGGAGTGTTTCTGAGCAGAGAACTCAGGTTGCAAAGAAGCACATCAGCCTCTTGGGAACGTAGAAAAAATTATCAGAAATCCATCATTTTAGTTATAGGGGCTAGAAAGTGACAACATGAAAAAGTATATCTAGAGATGTGTATCTAGATCTTGATGAGCAGTGCAGTTTTTAAGTGTCACTGTTCTTACTGCCTTTTACTCAGAACCTGTGAACAGCTACCCTTTTACTCTGGGCATCGTATTTGTGATCACAAAATACTTTCTCTTAAATACTTGTTTTATGTTTTGGCTATTCATCTTATGTTGAGGTGCTAAACTTTTCTGAATGATAAAGCAGCATTCAGCATAGGTCTACTATATGAAAATCTGCCTGCTGTATTATAATTATATAGCCCTTTAGGCTTAAATTTGTATCCTTGTTGAAACAACGTATTTATTGTGCACCCTCTTCTATCATTTGAATATTGAGATTATAAAGTTCTTGTTCTTAGCCTAGTTCCTGACACTTGTGAATGCTCAGTAATGGTTGGTTTTGGTTTGTATGCTGTTAAAAAATTATTATTGTTGGTTTAGAAAAGCTCCATACTAATAAAACTATCAATTTTCATTTCGTCAGATGTATTCTCATACTGTGTACAAATCTCTAATTTAGTACTTGTAAATTATAGTACTTACAAACATTTATTCTATGTCTGGAACACTTAACTAGACTGTGAGCTTTGAGGGCAGAAACCATCTTATTTATATTTATAATCAATCTCATTAAATGGTGCCCCCTCTCCCCTAAGCATGTCTGATTTATAGGGGTTTTTTTCTTTGTTTTTTCTTAAGGTTTGGCATAGAAATGGTGCCTCTAGTTCAAAATGAACAAGAGGTCTTGGATTTGGATGGGGAACCTGATCTGTCCAATCTAGAAGGATTCCAGTGGGAAGGTATTTCCATTTCTTCATCTCCTGGATTGGCAAGGAAGCGAAGCCTTTCTGAGAGCAGTGTGATCATGGACAGGGCTTCTTCTGTTTATAGCTTCTTCAGTGAGGAAGGTACAGGCAAAGAAAATGAGCCCCAACAGATTTTTTCACCTAGTGACTCGTTGAGGGCTGCACAGAGTCAGACAACAACCATGGGCCTTAAGCAGGAGGTGACACCTCTGGCTGCCTCTTTAAGAACAGGTGAAAGGGCTGAAAATGTTGCTAGTCAAAGGCGACATAGCGCACAGTTGTCCTCTGACCGAACGATACCTCTGATGCACTTGGCGAAAGACCTGAACAGTCAGGAGAGTTCTACACCACCTTCAGAGAACCAGAATACCCAGGAGAGTAATGGAGAAGGAAACTCTTTATCATCAAATATATCCTCAGCCCTTGGAATCTCCAGTTTGGCAGACGCAGCCACAGACAGTAGCTGTACCTCTGGCACTGAACAAAATGACGGCCAGAATGTGAGAAAGAAACGAAGAGCCACTGGAGTGAGTATGATTGCCCATGCTTGTTAATAGGACATTTCACGTGGTGATTTGGCTATTAAAAGATTTAACCCTTTAATTTTTTCTGGCTTCTGGGATTATGCTTCTCCCTACACTGGAGTAGGTTTATGAGGCTCTTTACTTTCATATTCTTATCCTATTGGTTGGTTTCTTTCTTTCTTTCTTTCTTTCTTTCTTTCTTTCTTTCTTTCTTTCTTTCTTCTTCTTCTTTTTTTTAAAGATTTTATTTATTTATTTGTGAGAGACACAGAAAGAGAGGCAGAGACACAGGCAGAGAGAGAAGCAGGCTCCCTGTAGGGAGCATGTTGCCAGGACTCAATCCCAGAACCCCGGGATCACAATCTGAGCCAAAGGCAAAGATGCTCAACCACGGAGCCACCCAGGTGTCCCATCCTATTGGTTTCTTTCGCTGAGTAATTCTACTAAGTTAGATGTAACTGAATATGAATGTACAGTACTAGGAAAATATGAAGTCATCTCTAAAACTAGTCTCTACGTCAATGATTCTTTGTTATCACCTGACCAAGGAGTAAGCCACATCCTCAGCTGTAACTCTGTTTTCATGATGCATTCTGTACTGCTGCTAAAGAAAGGCACTCTAGTGTTACATTTCTAGGGCACGAATGCTTGTTAGGCCCAGGACTGTTGAGCTTATCACTAAGGTAGTTTTCACACTACTAGAGTACATCTATATGAACATAGTCTTAGAAATAGTTTTAGTCTTTGAGCACCTGCGTGGCTCAGTGGTTGAGCGTCTGTCTTCAGCTCAGGTCCCAGAGTCCTGAGATCGAGTCCTGCATCAGACTCTCCACAGAGATCCTGCTTCTCCCTCTGCCTGTGTCTCTGTCTCTCTCTCTGTGTGTCTCATGAATAAACAAATAAAATCTTAAAAAAAAAAAAAAGAAATAGTTTTAGTCTGTTATTCAGTATTTTGTACCTTAGTCATGCAGCTTGGCCCCTTCCGAACCCATTCCTTCACTGACACCACTTCTCTTCTGGCATCTCTGTTACTAATATTGCCTAACCCTCTCAGGAAGCCTTTCTGAAAAGAAAGAGTTCCTGGTACTGGTGTCTGGAATGTGACACTGTGGGAAAATGGGCTGTTTCCTTAAAGACCAAGGCAGTTTAGCAGAGTAGTTGAGGCCTTGGCTTGTAGACCTGAGTTCAAATTCCAACTTTGCTCCTTTGAGTTGGACACTGTAGTGGATATTGTTGGATGAGAGTTGGTCCTGTAACAAAGCTGATATCTAGGGGATTGTCTCATAGATCATTTAGCTTTTTGTCATAAAGATTTTGTTGTAAAATCTTTAAAGTACTTCTACTTTAAAGTAAAGTAGAAACTGTGCCCCAGTGAAATCAGGTATATGCATTACTGGCTTTGTCCATACTTCTGACTGTCCTTTGCTTTCCCAACGTGAAATGCTATGCCATAGCCCCAGTGCTTCACCACCTCTAGGATGCTAGGAAGGTCTTGACCTTAGATTCTGTTCTGGGGTTTTTTGTTTGTTTTTTAAAGATTTTAATTCATTTATTTTTTTTTTAAATTTATTTATGATAGTCACACACAGAGAGAGAGAGGCAGAGACATAGGCAGGGGGGAAGCAGGCTCCATGCACGGGGAGCCCGACGTGGGATTCGATCCCGGGTCTCCAGGATCGCGCCCTGGGCCAAAGGCAGGCGCCAAACCGCTGCGCCACCCAGGGATCCCGATTTTAATTCATTTAAAGCAGGGGAGAGAGCATGAGCAGAAAGAGGAAAGGGAAGGAGAATCTCAAGCAGACTCCATGCTGAGCTTGCAGCCTGATGTGGTGCTCAGGCTCACAACCCCAAGATCACGACCTGAGCTGAAACCAAGAGTTGGACACCTAACCCACTGTGCCACCCAGGAGCACCTGTTTTATCTTTTTAATCAGATACATTCAACTAATATTTAAGTTCATACCTTATGCATTGGATTCCTAGTATCCTGTTAGAGATGATAGCAGCAATGAAGAACAAAGTATAATGGTCTTAGAGTTTTTTTCCTTTCCTGGGTAATGGCCTTTACACATTTAATATTACTCAGTTTTCTTTCTCTTCTCAGGATGGATCTTCTCCTGAACTCCCAAGTCTTGAGAGAAAAAACAAAAGAAGGAAAATTAAAGGAAAGAAAGGTATAGTGCAAATATTCTGAACAAAAAGAAATTGTTCTTACAGCAATTCAGCCTTTTTACAACTTGACACAGAGTGTAATTGTGGTTATCAAATAGTGATCATCCATTTATTATTATTTTTTGACATTTTTGTTGTCTTGCTTAAGGGCATAGAAAAGTTTGACTTTTTTTTTTTACCATATCCAGTTGTAGCTATAGAAGAAATGTTTGATGCCACATAGACCCATAAGCTAAAGTTAATATATATCTTGGACAAATCGAGTTCAGCATAAAGTCAGAAAGTCTTATTGGGCCTTTTCAGTGGTGAAGAGGAATAGGTTCTTTAGTAAAAATTTTGTCTCTTGGTTGTTCATAGCCATTTCTCTCAATTTTCATTTTTGAGGTATCTGTGTTGCTTCTCTTACTTAAATTGAGAGAAGTTGTTAGAGTCATTCCCTCTACACTTCTGTGATTCTTGCTTTCCCCTGACTCAACCCTTTCTGCTGTAAGAGCTAGGGTCAGAAGTGATTGGATGAACCTTGGGTGGTTGGATGTGATGGATAAGGTAGGAGTCATGGATGACCCCAGTTTCTGGCTGAGGCATCTTTGGGGATGATGGTATTATTTGTAGAGCTGGAAAACTCCCATAAGAGGAGGACAGTGATGAGTCCTCTTTTGGATCTTTTGAGTTAACGAATCTTAGAGACACCTTAGTAAAGATATCAAAGTAGTAGTTGGGTATGTGGTTCTGGAGTTTAGGGAAGACATCTTGACTTACTGAATGGGAAAGAGACAAAGATAATAAATACATACATGTGGTAGGACATTTTATTTAAAGTAACTTTAAATGTACTATCTTGAAGCTATATTTTTTCAGGAAGTTTTCTCTAAGAAAGCGAACTATTTTATGGTAACTAAGAGACTAGAAGAATAGGGATTGGGAAGAGAGTGTAAGCTGTTCACATCTGGGGCTCAATCTAAGCAAAAGAAGAGGGTGGCAGATAAAGGAAAAATGAGAATTGAAATGTATGACAGTTGCTCTGCCTGGGGCAAAGATTGCACTTGGAAGGGAAGTGGTGGAAGATGGTGATGAGGTAAGATGGTACCGTGTGACAGCACACTTGAACCTATGAATTACCTCCATCTTACCGATTCTTTTGGTTTAGCTCTGATATCAGTCTCAACACAACAGCATGATTTGTGAGATCTGATGAGTCTCCAGTTACCTGTTGGAGAGCAAATACAGGCTTATCCTAGAGAACTGATACAGTTCCACCATCTCTGGAGCTGTATTATTAAGGAGTCATCTCCAGTATCAAACTGAGCCTTACGGTTTCTTTTGGCAGAACGTTCTCAGGTTGACCAGCTGCTGAATATTTCTTTAAGGGAGGAAGAACTAAGCAAATCACTGCAGTGCATGGATAACAACCTTCTGCAAGCCCGTGCAGCACTGCAGACAGCATACGTTGAAGTACAGAGGCTACTTCTGCTCAAGCAGCAGGTAACCAAGGATGGAACATTTAACAAGAATGGATCATCTCTAAAGTTGGATTTCAAAATGCTTAACAAATTACTTTATTTTTAGATAACTATGGAGATGAGTGCACTGAGGACCCATAGAATACAGATTCTACAGGGATTACAAGGTATTCTGGAGAAAATCTGATGGATTAGATCCTCTAACTTATTTCTTTGTTATCTATACGGGGAATTGAAGTAGTCATGTAAAGGTCATATGTTTTCTCTCCTGTCTCCTTGCTTTCATCCTTTTATAGAAGGGCCTATGAGACTGTATACCCCCAAAATGCTTAGCAGCAGGGGCAGTATGTTACAGAAAGAACCTTGGGTTAGGAATCAAAAGACCTGGGTTCAAATCTTGCTTTTCCATTAGTAACTATATGACTTTGGATAAGTCACTTAAAATTTAAAAATGGAATGCTAATACCTATTCTGCCTGTGTCCTTGTTGGTCATATAGATTTTATGACAGTGTATTTCAAAGAATTATGAGGGATTTCAGAATTCTCTTGTAATCTTTAAAAATACAGATTGGCTCTGAAATGAATGACTTTTCAGAAACCATTTTTGTTTCTAGAAACATATGAACCTTCTGAGCGCCCAGACCAGGTTCCTTATAGCCTTCCACGAGAGCCAAGGAACAGTAGATCTCAGACATCTGCTGATGCCACACTGCTGCCTACTCCCTTTTTCCCAGTTTTTCTGGAGCCTCCATCTTCCCACATGTCTCCATCGTCCACTGGAGTCCCTCTCCAAGTAACCACATCTCCTACTTTCCAAGCCCATGGCAGTGTTCCTGCTCCAGACTCCTCAATTCAGATTAAACAAGAACCCATGTCTCCTGAACACGACGAAAGTGTGAATGCTGTGTCACAAGGCTCTGATGACAATGTGTCCAAGGAATTACTGCAAGCTAATAGTACGTAAACTTTTCTGAGGATTAACGGTAACCTGGCAGTGAGTCTAACACAGTTTTAGGTCAGTGATGTAGTCATATTTGCCCATTAAAACTAAAGTTGCTAGAATTAATTTTTCTTGAAATTCCTTCACTTAGAAGGATTGTTATTTTTGAGAGAGACTGCACACATTTGTGGTTGGGGAGGGGCAGAGGGAGAGAGAGAGTCTTAAGCAGGCTCCACACCCAGTGCCGAGCCTGATGCAGGGCTTGATCTCTTAACTCTGAGATCAGGATCTGACCTGAAATCAAGAAGTTTGGCTAACTGACCCATCCAGGCACCCCTTAGGAGAACTATTTAAATATCAATAACTTTTTTCTCAATTTTCCCTAATCTAGGATTACTAAACGGACTTTGCATTAGCAAAGGTTCCATAATGAGGATTGGTGCAGAATTGTTTGTTTTGTTTTGTTTGTTTGTTTGTTTGTTTGGGGGTTTTTTTGTGAGATAAATTAAGTTGAACTTAGTCAAGTTCCTAGATAAGCTATATCTTCTGAATTTCTCAGCACTTAACTTTATCATTTAAAAGTAAGGCTGGACTAATATAAGCCTAAGAGGCAGGTGGCCATGATTAAGGGCAGAGGACACTGGATTTGGAATCATCAGTAAGAACTTGAGTGGTTTTGAGAAATAGCCAGTTTTTGCTCTTCATAAAATAACATTCACCTGGTTACCATTTGAGACTAACTTCTAAGCTATTTTAAACTTTATCTGAAGTTTTTATAACCAAAATGGTGCTATACTGAAAATTAAGTAAAAATAAACTGCCATTGTGTGATCTGAACAAAAGCAAAAAGTCTGAAAAATTACCTTAGCTTTTGCTACCTTTTGCAACACTAACCTAGATATGTATCTCAAATGTATATTATCTTTCATTTTGAATTTCGTTGTCTTTGTGTAAATAGTAATCAGTATTTTAAAAAAAACTGGTAAAGTATTATAGTGACTTTTTAAGATAATATTTTTAAATGGCTTTTATTAAATTTTTTCCTCTGCAAAATAATTCATGCTCATGTAAAAAAATGGAAAACTATAAAAATGTAGATATGTTATTTCAGTCTTAAATTATAAATGTTTGTGTGTTTACCTGTAAACTTTATACAAAGAGAAAATCATAGTCTGTTATAACCTAACTTTTTTCTTTTTGATATATCTTGATCATTTTCTTGTGTCACAAAAATAATTCATCTGAAATATTTTAATTTTGCTAGTTGAATAATACTTGAGAAGTTGCATAATATGGATGTGGTAATTTATATAATCTCCTTTGAATATTTAGTTTTTATCTTTTTTTTTTTAAGAATTCTGTAGAACACTACATTGTGTATGTCTTTGAGTATGTCTGTGGTTATTTCATCAGTTTAAATTCCTCAGCATAAAATAACTAAGTCAAAGAAAATAGACATTTTTAAGTCAGCTGGCTTTTTAACTGCTCTTATGTAGCCAAACTGGATGATGTATCATTGACAGTGTTACCAATGGCATAGTGAAAACATCTAAGAAATAAAGGTGAAAGCGCTTCAGCTAAGTAGATATTTTAATGTCTACCAAGAATAGGGGCACCTGTGTGGCTTACCACCTGTCTTCCGCTCAGGTCATGATCCTGGGGTCCTGGGATCAAGCCCCATGTCTGGCTTGCTGCTCAGCGGGAAGTCTGCTTTTTCTCCCTTTGTCCCTCCCCCTGCTCATGCTTTCTCTCTCAAATAAATAAATAAGATCTTGGGGGAAAAAAGTCTATCAAGAATAAAACATAATGTTAAATATGTGGACATTTCAAACAAGAAAAAAGATGGGTAGAAATGGTCCATGCCCATAAAAAGCTTTTATACAGTATAAAATATGCATGCTATTTGTGAGATCAACGCAGGGCAAAGTGTAGTCAGTGCTATAATAGAAATTTTTGCAGGTTACGGAAAGCTGATGGGTGATACAACTGCTTTAACATTCATAGCTTTACTCACTTATCACTGAAAGGTGGTTATTTGGTAGAGATTTGATCATTGATAAATAATGGCAATTTATGATGGTAAATAAACACAAAAGATGTAATAATTCTTTTCTTCTCAATTCAGGCGAGAACAGTGACAGTTGTCCCGTTTATCCAGTTATCACTGCAACGTTGTCCTTATCAGAGGTCACAGAAAGTTTCCATGAGCCTAGCCAAGAACTGAAGTTTTCCACAGAGCAAGGAAATACCAGGAACAGAGGAAATGCCCCCTCCTCCCAACCAACTGGTCTTCCAGGCATAAATAAAGAAGACGAAGAGGCAGTTAAAGGCAACAGCGGGTCTGAGGCCTGTACCAGTTCTTTTCCAAGATTGTCATTTGTTTCTGAAACCCCCTTAGAGAGGGAGCCCCACTCCCCAGCTGACCAGCTGGAACAGCAGGCAGAGTCTACTCTGACATCAGCTGAAACTCGAGGAAACAAGAAAAAGAAGAAACTTAGGAAAAAGAAAACACTTCGGGCTGCTCATGTTCCTGAGAACAGTGACACTGAACAGGATGTATTTACTGCTAAACCAGTAAGGAAAGTAAAGACTGGAAAGTCAGCTAAAGGGGGGAAGGTAACAACCTCCACCTGGGAAGATAGTAGAACTGGCCCAGAACAAGAGAGTGTCAGGGATGAGCCAGATAGTGACTCGTCTCTGGAGGTCCTAGAAGTCCCTAATCCTCAATTGGAAGTGGTGGCCATTGAATCTTCTGAATCTGGAGAAGAGAAACCAGACAGTCCATCTAAAAAGGATATTTGGAACTCCACAGAGCAAAACTCATTAGAAACTTCTCGTTCTGGTTGTGATGAAGTTAGCTCTACCAGTGAGATTGGCACTCGTTATAAAGATGGTATCCCTGTAAGGTGAGGATGTTGTGCTGGTCCAATCAGAACAGCTTACACCATTGTTCTTTTCTTAAAAAAAAGAGCCTTTGGTTATGAATCAGTTTTTAAATGAATCAAATGTATAGAAAATCCAATAAAGATTATGGGTATGGAAGAATGAAACCTTGGCAATGGGGATTTTCTACTTTCTCATTTATGTTGTAAATATTTACTTGTATCTCTTTTCATATAGAAGTTTCAGATGGAAAAACTTATTTCTTCTGTTACTGCTGTGTTGCCCATTGTTTAGAACAATCCTTTGAGCCAGGAAATTATAAGTTTTACTGCCTGTCCTATTCACAGGTTCTAAAAAGATGTTTGCTATTATTTTGTAGTGTGGCAGAAACTCAGACTGTGATCTCCTCCATTAAAGGATCAAAGAACTCTTCAGGTATTGGTATATTCACCTTTATTTAAATTAACCACAGAAAAAGCTTACAAATAATAGAGCCAGGGTTTAAATAGGCCTGTAGAATGGGGTGGGGTGGGATGATCATCACCAAGAGGATTGCTTCAACCAGCAATTTTGGTATCTGTAAATCCTAAATACTGCCTTTTTATAGTTTCTTATTCCCATCTGTCTTATCTGTTCAACTACTGAGTATTAAGGTTTCATTGGCTTCTGGGGGGTTTGCTTTGAGAAGAACTGCTTAAAGAATAATGCCTTATTCAACAAAATAACTGGCAGCAGAAGGGAGGATGTGGAGAGAGATTTGGTACTTTCAGGTTCATTCAAAAAAATAAGTATCTTTTTTCTGAAGTGAGAGGCCTTTTCTGCCTTCTCTTGTTATGAAGTCTTCATAATGAAGATCATTAATGAAAAATGTGTTTTGCTAGGGGAGCAAGGTTTTGAGGAGAATCCAGGGACCACTATATAGTTTTAATTTTTGAGTATCTTTTTACACAAAAGCAGACATGTCTCTGAAACATATTCTTGTTTTCCAGAAATATCTTCCGAGCCAGGAGATGATGATGAGCCCACAGAAGGGGCCTTTGAAGGGCACCAAGCTGCAGTGAATGCAATTCAGATATTTGGGAATTTACTGTACACCTGTTCAGCAGATAAAACTGTCCGAGCTTATAATCTAGTGGTGAGTTGGTAAATCAATTTGAATGTTTTTGCAGGTTTTAGGAACTCAAGTTCACACTCTCTTAAATAATAGGGGAATCTATTTGCTGTCCAGAGATGAGGTGAATTTTAGACTAACTGTAGATAAGGTTGATGCAGTGGCTTGGCAGGATCACTGGGTACTTAGCTTCTTTCTGGCTGTCCGCTCTGCTTTCTCTGGTATCACCTCTTCCTAAAGCTCGTCCTAAAGCTCATTCTCCTCATGCTCACAGACAGATGTCAGAAGCCCTTGGGGTTTCTTCTTCCTCCCATCACCAAAAAAACAAAAAATAAAAAACAAAAATGGTCCTATGCCTGATTGTGGACAACCACTTGGCAAAGGGAGATGAGATGACAGCAGTAGGCTTGGGCAGTCAGTTTCTAGCCCTGGTGTTGCTGAAAAGGTCAGTCATATAGATATTACAAAATAGGATAGAAGGCATATTGGAGAAGTGCTAGAGGAGGCATTTTTCCTCACAGTTGATTAATTGTGCCAAGTTACTAAGGAGAACAGCATTGTCTATTCATACTTAGTATAATCTGATACTCACACTTAGTATAATCTGATGCTCATTACTCTCAGTTTTCATAGGATGAACTTTTAAGGTTTGAATTTGGTGTATGTCAAACTAATTTGCTTTATCAATGATGATAACCAAGAAACTTTAGGCTGAACACCAGGAAAGTATTTGAAACTCCTAAAGTCCTTGAAAGTCAAAAGGCTAGATGATAGACCATGAAAATGTGTTCTTTCTAGGCAACAGGTCTCATTAGCCTAGTGATCTGAAGGGGAAATGGGGATGACTGAAGGAAGGGAACAGAGGTACCAGGGAGTATGAGTGTAACATTTAGGGGATCGGTTGTCACTCTGGATTGCAAGATAAATCTATCTATGTATGTACATTTGAAGTGGGTCTCTGTGAATGAAGATAACATTTAGGATACTCCCTTGTGAAACCATCCCCGGACCACTATGGCCTGTGATAGCACCATTTTTGAATGTTGTGGAACATTCTCTCCGAAGTTATTGATGAAATGCAGGAACTTATTTGGGAAGTTAGCTACAGTTTGGATTTGTCAGATCTTTGGTCCATATGTTGGAGAGCCTTGCCCTAGGCATTAATTAAAATATTACTCTATGTTAGAGCAGATTGACCTAAGTATTTTTGGTATGGCTCAGCTAACATAGCTGAAGTACTTAGTTCCTGTGACTGTTTACTGGGCATTTAGTGAACAGATACTTACTGAGCACCTTTTGTATACCAAGCACTAACCTAGGCACTGAGGCTACAGTAGCAAACTGTATGTTTTAGCATTTTTGTTGTTGTTGAGGAAATGTGTTACCTAATCCTTAATGTATCCACAAGCAATGATCTGATATGTGCTTGACTTTAGAGTCGGAAGTGCATTGGTGTCTTTGAGGGGCATGCCTCCAAAGTGAACTGCCTCCTGGTAACCCAAACCTCTGGGAAGAATGCTGCGCTTTACACTGGTTCCAGTGACCATACCATTCGCTGCTATAATGTCAAGGTGAGTGAGTCCAGAGAAATCAAAAGTGATCATTTACACTGCTTTACTGTATTTACTGTATAGAGTGGAGACACTAAGATACTCTATTCTGTCCATTCTTTTTTTTTTTTTTTTTAAGATTTTACTTATTTATTCATGAGAGACAGAGAAAGAGAGGCAGAGAACACAGGGAGAGGGAGAAGCAGGCTCCCTGCAGGGAGCCCAGTGTGAGACTCAATCCTGGGACTCCAGGATCATGACCTGAGCTGAAGGCAGATGCTCAACCACTGAGCCACCCAAGTGTCCCCATTCTTATGCTTCTGAGCCTATTTAGTACAGGCATACCTCAAAGATACTGCAGGCTAGGTTCCAGGCCACTAGAATATCAGTAAAATGAGTCAAATGGATTTTTTGGTTTCTTGGTGGAAAGTTATATTGATGCTATACTGTATTCTATTAGGTGTGCAGTGGCATTATATCTAGAAAAACAGTGTATGTACCTTAATTAAGAAATACTTTTTTCTCTCCTCCACAGAGAGGGGAAAAAAGGAAAAGAAAAATAATACTTTATTGCTAAACAAATGCTAACCGTCATCTAAGTTTTCAGTGAGCTGTAGTCTTTTTGCTGGTGGAGGAGGGTCTTTCCTCTATGTTGATGGCTGCTGACTGATGAGGAAGGGGTGGTTGCTGAGGGCTGGGGTGGCTACAGTTATTTCTTAAAATAAGACAAAAGTGAAGTTTGCTATCTGGATCGACTTCCTTTCATGAATGATTTCTCTATAGTGTGTAATGCTGTTTGATAGCATTTTACCCATGATAGACTTCTTTAAAAATTGGAGTCCCATGTTCTCAAACCCTGCCTCTGTTTTATCAACTAAGTTTGTGGAATATCCTAAACCCTTTGTATCATTTCAACAACCTTCACTGCATCTTCATGAGGAATAGATTCCATCTCAAGAAACCACTTTCTTTTTCATCCATAGGAAACACCTCCTCTTCCATTACAATTTTATCATGAGATTGCAGCATTCAGTCATGTCTTCAGGCTCCACTTTGCATTCTAGTTCTCTTGCATTCCCACTACATCTCCAGTTACTTCCTCCCCTAAAGTCTTGAATCCCTCATTCAAAGTCATCCATGAGGGCTGGAATCAACCTCTTCTAAATTCCCATTCACATTGATATTTTAACTTCTTCCTTTAATGGTATCTAGAATGGTGAATCCTTTCCAGAAAGTTTTCAGTTTATTTTGCCCAAACCCATCACAGCAATCACTATCTATAGCAGCTATAGCCTTGCAAAATGTATTTCTTAAAAAATAAGACTTGAAAGTTGAAATGACCCCTCCATTCATGGGCTGCAGAGTGGATGTTGTGTTAGCAGGCATGAAAACAACATTAATCTTGTTGTACTTCTCCATTAGATCTGTTCAGTGACTAGGTGCCTTTCAGTGAGCATTCATATTTTAAAAGGAATATTTTTTTTTCCTTTTTATTATGGTATATATCTGGTTCCCCTATAAAACTACAAAAAAAATCTCACATGGGTTAACCAGAGGCAATTGAATTTTAACATTTGGGCATGTTTATTGTCTTTTTCTTTATTTCACAATATTATACATGGCATTTATATTTGTAATTTTATGGGAGAAAATTGAATAATTTCAGGAACTGACTCTTAGCGGCATAAAAGAGGTTTGGGAAAAGAGGTCAAAAACTTTGACAGCTTACAGCTTTTCTCATCCTACCCACTTCTTTTTTTTTTTTTTTTTAATTTTTTATTGGATTTATGATAGAGAGAGAGAGAGTCAGAGACATAGGCAGAGGGAGAAGCAGGCTCCATGCACCGGGAGCCCGACGTGGGATTCGATCCCGGGTCTCCAGGATCGCACCCTGGGCCAAAGGCAGGCGCCAAACCACTGCACCATCCAGGGATCCCCATCCTACCCACTTCTAACCATCTCGATTTTAACATCTGTTTTCAACCCTGCTTAAAAGCTACACTTGGGCCTTTAACTGCTTAGTATCATTCAGTAACAGGTCTTGAGCATCACTGTCTTACTGGCAATACAGCCAGGTTACCTAAGTAACTAGAATAAAATGGCTAGTATAACCTAGTTCTAGAAATTCATGGAAATCTTTTCTTGAACGTGAGATCAAACAGTGCTTATTTAACCTGGGTATGCATTAGAATTACTAAAGAACTTTTTTTAAAATGCATATTCTAGAGCCCACTGAATTAGAATCTCAGGGATTGAGGATGAAGCTTGGGGTTCTATACATTTTAAAAGCTGCTCAGTTAAGTATGGCTCAGCCAACCCAGCACTGGTTTGAAGGAGGCATTTGAGAGCTATTGAAACAGAGAATCAGTTACAGGGAAGCACATACATGATTAATGCAAGTATCAAATATACAACTGTAGTCTTTCTTTACCGTTTTACATCTGCAGCTTTACCTTTGGCTACTTCATTTAATAAGTTTAAGGCCCGATTCTTAGTGCCCTTTGAAGAACTCTACATTCCAAATTACAAACATGGGTAACATTACTGGAGTTTATATTTGTTTACAGCTTGAGGGTCTTTGGCCAAATCTAAGATAGTCTTCAAAATAGAGGATGCTAAATTTTTTTCCTCATAAAAATCCTTTCACACTCTGCTTTAAAAAGGATTGATTTCACATTTTATTTGCTGCTAACCTCTGCTAATTAGGCATCTTGTACTTTTCTTAGACGCGAGAGTGTGTGGAGCAGTTAGAGCTAGAAGACCGGGTTCTGTGCCTCCATAGTAGGTGGCGAATCCTCTATGCAGGACTGGCAAATGGCACTGTGGTCACCTTCAACATCAAGGTCAGTGTCTGTGGGGAGAAGGCTGCATTCCCATGTCACTTGAAAGTAGTGTGTGTGTGTGTGTGTGTGTGTGTGTGTGTGTGTGTGTGTGTGTGTGGAAAGAAGTAGAAGGCAGACCTTTTCCTATTTTCTTGTGTGAGAAAACCGCAGAATGAGCTGCTACTCAAAAACTGTTACCTTCTGGTATAAGTGAAACAAGATCCTTCATTCTGTCTGCTCAGGCCCAAGTGTGCCAGAACCAAAAGGTAGCTCTACTAAATTAAACCAAGCCTGATGATTTGGGGCCAAATAATGAGTCATAGATTAAACTAGTCTATCTCATTTTAAGAATGACACCATGAAAAATGAGCTCAAATTCTTTTGAGTCTGACATTGATGTAGTTTGGAACTGATTTAGGGTTTCATGAGGATAGCCTATTTTGTAATGTGAACTAAGTCATAGGTTTGCCTTTTGCCCATGTGGCCTCATTCTTTCCTAACCCACAGATAAATTCATTTGTTGAGCAAACCTTTACTGAGCATCTGTTTTGTGCTAGGCCTCAGGATAGAGCTTAGGAAATGAGAAGGGACCAGTTCTTGATGGCCCTATATTGCTGTGTTAATGTAGGTGAACTTCCATCTTGTGGGCTTTAAAGTATGAGAGACATGATGCAATTTATATTTTAGAAAAAGTCATTCTGGAGTTGATGAGATAGGAAAATACTGGTACTAGTAGAGGCAGGAAGATCATTTAGGAGGCTTTGTAGTAGAAGAAGACAAGAAAAGTTAGAGTAAGGATGAAGAGAGGAGAATGGATAAAAGATGTAAGAGGTAGAGTTGATCATTTTGGTTACTAATGAGTTGTAGCACTGTATCCCAAGGTCATCAGGTCATTTTTTTTTTTTGAGTGTTGCAGTGGGTGGGGCAGGGGAAAAGAGGGAGAGAAAAAAATCTAAAGCTGACTCCATGCCCAGCATGGAACCCAATATGGGACTCAGTCTTCTGACCCTGAGATCACAACCTGAACCATAATCAAGAGTTGGACGCCTAACCAGCTAAGCTACCCAGGCTCCCCATGGTCATCTTTCAACACAGTGTGTTACAATGTTTACTGTGTTATACTGGATTTATAGTATCATTCATATGTTTAATGAATACCTATCAATACTCTCCTTCCACATATGAGCTGGAACCACTACTTATAAGGAATACAATAAAATATGTCATGGTTTCTGCCTTGAAGAAGCTTAAAAACAAGTTAGAAGAATCTAACATATAGATAATCAAGTGCCAAGTTATTTGGTTATCTTGATATGAATAGATCACAGAAGGGTAATTAGTGAAAGTTGTTGCATTTCATATGTGAAGTGTTAAAAGCTTACATTAGATTCTGTTAGGGCAACAGAAATGAAGAAGAAAGAATAAATTTAAAATAGTTTAAAGGATGAAACTTGATAATTACTTAATTCTTTTTTGGGAGAGTAATGGTATCAAAGGTAGATAGAAGTTAGGAGCAGGACTTTTGAGGCAGGATGACAAGATATCAAATGGAAATGATCTTTAACTGGTTGACAGACCCCAGAGAAGATAGACTTTGAGACAGAGATTTGAGAATCTCAGCAGACATGGGAATTTTGAAGCCCTGTGGGGGCTGGGCCCTTTTTGGTTTGCCTGTACACCTAGAATGCAGTGCTTCTAAGGTCTTAGCAGAAATCCAGGACTGTTTATCTGTGCCTTCCACCAGTGGGCCCTGAACTCCATCAGACTGTCCCCTCAGCACCTAAGATTGCTGGAGTCATTGCTTAGCCCTGGAGGCTCCCAGCTGCTGCTTTGTGCTTTGTTTCTGGGAGTTTCACTGCTTGCATGCACTTGAAGTTCTTACTTACTTACTTACTTACTTATTTACTTATTTACTTATTTACTTACTTACTTACTTTTTTTTTTAAAGTAATCTCTACACCCAGTGCAGGGCTTGAATTCAATTCAAGAGTAGCATGCTCCACCTAGTAAGCCAGCCAGCCAGGCAGCTCCCCCTCCACCCCAACCACCACTTCCTTTTTAGAAGTATTGGGGAGGTGGGAGACTTTATGAGCAAGATTGGTGTGGGGATGGGGGAACCAAGTCTAAGATGTGAGATAAAGGAATGTTTAGGGATTCAGGATGTGACCATGCCACTCTGACTGATATAAAAGGCTTCTCTAATTCACAAAATGATGACATGAGAGATGACAGAGAACGAGATATCAGAAGAACTTGAGAATAACAGAAAGGTGGTAAATGAGAAACTCTTGCCAAAGTAAGTAAGTAATTCTTAGTAGAAAAATTTGGAAACACATGGCAAATTGCACAAATTTTGGATGACAAAAAGAAAAAAAACAGGGAAGGAGTTTCTGAGTTTATGGCATGGAAAATGTACTAGAATATGAAAAAAAGTTAATCATTATCATTAACTTAAGGGAAGTGGGAGAAGGCTGAAAAAGAGAATAAAGTGCTAATTATGATCAGATAGTGTAGGTTGAAGTTAGAAATGTGTTTCTCGTGAAAAAGTTTGCCATATGCCCCCAACTGGAATTGGGGTGGAGGGAGTCATGGACACCAAGTGAGTTGGAATGGGAATGGTGGAGATTGGAAAGTTAAAGATAGAGATGTAGTGTGAAAACTTAAGCACAGGTAATAGAATTTAAGAATTTGTAGCAAAGTAGTGATTTGGCTTAGTTGATTTTTGACATTTACCAGCTAAGTTGCTTTTACTTCATCTAACAGTGGCTTGTTTTTCAGAACAATAAACGACTTGAAGTTTTTGAATGCCACGGCCCTCGGGCTGTCAGCTGTCTTGCCACAGCTCAGGAAGGTGCCCGAAAGCTGCTTGTTGTTGGGTCTTATGACTGTACCATTAGTGTACGTGATGCACGGAATGGACTCCTCCTCAGAACTCTGGAGGGGCACAGCAAAACCATTCTTTGCATGAAGGCAAGTAGAGTGCCAGAGAAGAAGAGTTGGTTGTCTGGCACAAATAGAAGGATTTGAATGATATTTCCCTTGTTATCTAATGCCTTATTTAGAACACATCATCTTGAAAAGAACAAGGAAATTACAGTGCTTTTCTTTCTTTCTTTCTTTCTTTTTTTTTAAAAGATTTTATTTATTTATTCATGAGAGACAGAGGGAGAAGCAGGCTCCATACAGGGAGCCTGACATGGGACTCGATCCCGGGTCTCCAGGATCAGGCTCTGGACTAACAGCGGCTCTAAACTGCTGAGCCACACAGGCTGGCCCTATAGTGCTTTTCTTTAGGCTTGAGTCACCAAGGGAAGTACTGTGGGTTTGTTTTTGTTTTTTTAAGATTTAATTTATTTATTAGAGAGTGCAAGCATGAGTGGGGGGTGGGGAGGGCAGAGAGAGAAGCAGACTTCCCACTGAGCAGGGAGCCCGGTGTGGGACTTGATCCCAAGACCCCAAGATCATGACCTGAGCAGAAGGCAGACACTTAACCAATTGAGCCACCCAGGAACCCTGGAATGTACTGTATTTTATTAACAGAGAAACCGGTATATTTTATTATAGAATATAGATTTAAAGTCCTTCTAGTCTATTTCACAATCATTCTGAAGAGGTAACATACCCAATAATACGTTGTCCTGGTGGTAGGACAGAAATTTTCACTTTAGAAAATTTGTCTGAGGAACTTACTATTTTATCCCTAGTTCATGCTCATCTCAAAGTAGGTTAGAAATTAGAAATCAACAATGTGCTTTGCAGGCTACAGAGAAAACTCTGAACCTTATATGGAATCTAACTCTGAACTATCTTCTTTAAGGTGGTGAATGACCTTGTGTTCAGTGGCTCCAGTGATCAGTCAGTCCATGCTCATAACATTCATGTAAGTTGTGATGTTATAAAGAAATCTTCAGTGGAAGCTTAAAGGATTCCTTAGATCTCTTGCAGTTTGAATAAGACCCTTTTTCCAGTGAAAAGCTTAATAATAATTCCTACTCACATAAGCTCTTAGAAGATAGTGAGCACTCTAGAAATTCTGACCTCATCAGAATTTTTAATGGGGGACAAATGCAAACTTTAGGTAAGGTTTAGTTTGTCTCATTTGAACTTGAGATACACTGAGCATCTGAGACTAAGGAAGTGGATATGTTACATAGTTTAAAATAGAACAAATAAAAACAGCTGAGATATTCTGCTCCAGTCATAGAGGCAGCTCTGTGAAGCTCAGTGCCTAGACTATAAACCTGGGGATAATGCAGCCTCAGGAACTTGTCCAGATGCAATGAAATGATAAAAGTAGAAATACTTCAAAACCTATATATATATAGAGAGTTGTGGGCCTTCGCTTTCTATGATACCAGGTTCTCTCCATCAGAATACATTTCATATATAATACACATATTGTAATAAATGCTTGTGTGAGTACTTCAGCTGTTAAAATTAGTTCAGTTATATTATGTGCAAATAGCTTCAGAGTTAAGGCTTTTGGAATAATGGAATCATAAATCTCAAAAGTCAAAAGGAATCTGGAAAGTCAGTCTAGTGACTTGTCTCTCTTCTGGTGCAGACTGGTGAGCTTGTGCGGATCTATAAAGGTCACAATCATGCAGTGACTGTGGTGAATATCCTAGGAAAAGTGATGGTGACTGCTTGCCTGGATAAATTTGTTCGTGTCTATGAATTACAGGTAGAATTTAGATCCACTGTTTTGCTTGAATGATTTGGGAAGGTCTGTTTGAGTTTGGTGTTGAATTTTTTTTTTTTTTAATATAGTAAGGCTGGGGTGGGGCCAAGAAATCTGCATTTTTCAAGCCCTTTAGACAATATGAAGCAGATGATCCATGGACTACACTTTCAGAAACATGGCTCTGTGATAAGTGGTCAGGTTCACAGAGGTCAATACCGAAATGGTTTCCAGATAGCAACTGTAGTCTCCAAAGCCTGTCTAGTTCTCCTTGTATGCAATTTCAGGTTTGAGACTTTGACACTACACAGAAATTAGTTTTCTCATTTCCAATTACCAGCTCCTCCCTTGAGGACTTTATTAGATTGTCATTAGATTATGTTTCTGTAAAAATGCCAGTGGTACTTCAGCATAATGTCTCAGGTATAGTTTTAAACCTGCCAGAGGCCTCCAGGGATTATGCTTATTAAAAACACATGTTATAAATAACCTGAATTTTCTTTTTATTCCCCTCCACCTAAGTCCCATGATCGACTGCAAGTTTATGGAGGACACAAAGACATGATTATGTGTATGACCATCCATAAAAGTATGGTGAGTGTTATTAGCCATGTCACATTAGTGCTTCTGAATATGTTTACTAAAAACTACAAACTGATAATAATGTTCCTGTTTATCACTTCCAAGGATGACATGTTTCTGATATGCCTCATTATTGAATGCTTTTCTGTCTTTTGGCATAGTATCGAGAAGTAACCCAGTGAGATTGTTGAATATTCTCTTTGCTATTAATAGCTAAAATAATTACAATAAAAATCTGATACTTTAATGGTTTTAAAGATAAAATAAGTTTAAGATGTTTCCCACCCAAAATTGAGTGGTGCTTTTTCCAGAGACATTATGATCTGAACAGAACATTAGAATAGAGTTAAGGAGATTTGGCCAGTATGATATAATAAAGCAGACCTAAAAGTAAAAGCTAATTCACTTAACCTTGCTGAGCCTCAATTTATTTTATTTTTATATTACGTGGTTGAATCAGTATGGATGTTTTTTAGACTCTCAGCAGTAGAACCCTTTGTTCCAGTGAAACAGAGATGGCTAATATGTAATTCGCAATGCAGCATACAGTGCTCAGTAGTCAAGTACACAAGATACAGTGTAGGTGGGTGCTTTTGAGTCCTGCTGCTTCTGCTCTCAGCCAGTGTCTCAGGAGTGACTCTCTGTGGAGCATAGCTTCAAAGTATCTACACTGGAAGATACTTACCGATTGTAGCATTGAGGGCTGGCTTTGGTTTAGGTTTAGGTTTTCTTACAGCAGGCACAAGGAGCTTTTGAGATGTATTTTGAGGATGTTAGTAGTTTTTTTGTGTGTTGTTTTGGTCTGATACAAGAAACCTCTTTTTCCAGATTTATACTGGCTGTTATGATGGCAGTATTCAAGCTGTGAGGCTGAATCTGATGCAGAATTACCGTTGCTGGGTAAGGAGTGAAACTGTTCTTATAACCAGACCTAGATGTTGCTTAACTCTAGGCTAATTTACAGATCTTCATTACCATCAATTAAGCATTTTTATATTTGAGCATCTACTTCGTGCCTCCCACTATAGGACGAGGAAGCTTATTTTTATTGTTTTAAAAGATTATTTATTTGAGAGAGAACATGAGCAGGAGAGGGAGAAAAAAATCTCAAGCAGACTCTACACTGAGCATGGAGCCAAATTGGGGCTTGATCTCATAACCCTGAGATCACGACCTGAGTTGAAACCAAAAGTCTGACACTTAACTGACTGCACTACCCAGGTGCCTCAAGAAGCTTATTTTTAAAAACTTTGTATAAAATGCTTTCATACTTTGTTCATGGGTAGTCTATTTTAAGATGAGATATGAGGTATGTTTACATAATCGTCTACTCAGAGGTTATCTCTATGGTGGTTTTTGTTTGTTTTATTATAAATCTGTCATACATACAAAAATATCAACAGTACAGAAGTACACTTGACCCTGGAACAGTGTAGGAGGTTAGGGACACCAAACCCTGTGCAGCCGAAAATCCACATAGAACAAGATTTTAACTCTCCAAAACCTTGCCTATTAATAGCCTACTGTTGAGCAGAAGCCTTACTGACAACATAAACAGTCAGTTAACATGTATTTTGTATATTTATTATTTATTATATGCTGTATCCTCACAATATAGTAACCTAGAGAAAAGAAAATGTTGCCAAAATCCAAGAAGGGGCTCCTGACTGGCTCAGTTGGTAGAACATGATCCCCAGGGTCATGAGTTCAAGTCCCATGATGGGCATAGAGATTATTTAAATAAGCAAGTAAAATAAAATCATTAGGAAATGAAAATACATGTACAGTACTATACTATGTTTATTGAGAAAAGTTCATGTATGAGTGGACCTGTGCATTTGAAACTATATTCAAGGGTCAACAGTATAGGAAATAAAAAGTGGAAGTTTATTTTGGGGACCTGCCCACTATCTTATATTCATTCATTGGGGAACATATTAATAGTTTGATTTTTGTCCTCCTTGGATTTTGAGGAACAGGCAAATAAAAAATTGTGTTCTTAAAGTTTTAAACTTCTGTTGGCTAGGGCTAAATTGCATGGTTTTTATTTTGAAGTGGGAGCTCCACACTTTTATACTCCTTATAGGCCTTAAGTTGTTTCACCAGTTTTAATACTAGTGGTGATCAAAGAAAAGTTTCTGGCCCCTGTACCCCGGTTCCCCTAACCTCTTGTTTTGCAGAAATGATGGAATGGAATAACACTCTCCGTTTTTAGATTTGATCTTAGACTTGTCCACAGCCTGGTTGCTTTGGAGCTTTTACACATTACTGTGTTTGCTTTTTGGTTTTTCTCAGTGTAGGACACAAAATACAGTACAACAGGATCCAAAATACAAATAGAGTTACAAATAGAGGGTTAATTTATCTAGAGAAAAGGGAGAAAATACCATCTGGTATTAAAGCTAGAGGGGATGGGATAGTGCTGACAGGAAAAACGCAAATTTGCATTGTTTTATAGAAATGAACCTGTTAGAATTTTAAGATTTTTATTTTATTTTATTTTTTTATTTTTTTAATTTTTATTTATTTATGATAGTCACACACACACAGAGAGAGAGAGAGAGAGAGGCAGAGACACAGGCAGAGGGAGAAGCAGGCTCCATGCACCGGGAGCCGGACGTGGGATTCGATCCCGGGTCTCCAGGATCGCGCCCTGGGCCAAAGTCAGGCGCTAAACCGTTGCGCCACCCAGGGATCCCAGAATTTTAAGATTTAAGACAAGCAAGCCTGGAGGGAAAAAACCAAGACCAAGAGTTTTTATGTTTCTGACTAATGAGTGAAATTGAGAATTGAGCCATGTTTTTGGTAAAGTAAAAATTTTAAAAAAGAGGGGCATCTAGGTAGCTCAATTGGTTAAGTATCCGACTCTTGGTTTTGGGTCGGGTCATGATCTCAGGGTCGTAAGATTTGAGTCTAATGTTGGGCTCTGTGCTTAGTGGGGAGTCTGCATGATATTCTTTCTCTCTCCTTTTCTGCCTCCCTGCACTAACTAAATTCTTTATATATATATATATTTTTTTTTTCTTTATATATATATATATATATATATATATATATACTTTCTTTATATATATATATATATATTTTATATATATATATATATATATATTTTTTTTAAAGACTTTATTCACGATAGATACAGAGAGAGAGGGAGAGAGAGGCAGAGACACAAGCAGAGGGATAAGCAGGCTTCATGCCAGGAGCCTGACGCAGGACTCGATCCTGGGACTCCAGGATCGCACCCTGGGCCAAAGGCAGGCACCAAACCACTGAGCCACCCAGGGATCCCCAATTTTTTTTTTTTAAAGATTTTATTTATTTATTCATGAGAGAGAGATAGAGAAGGCAGAGACACAGGCAGAGGGAGAAGCAGGCTCCATGCAGGGAGCCTGACATGGGACTCCATCCCGGGTCTCCAGAATCAGGCCCTGGGCTGAAGGTGGTACTAAACCGCTGAGCCACCCGGGCTGCCCATATAAATAAATTCTTTAAAAAAAAAAAGAAAGAAAGAAAAGAAAAAGAAACAAAATTTTTACTCCAGTGATAAAGATTCTGAAAAAAGTCAGACTTCTAAGGCAATGTAGTTTTCTTTGTCAGACATTTTTATTTTCAAGTTTCTGAGTCAGCAGTTCTCAGAATTGTGAAATACAGCCCTTTCAGTATTATAGAGAACTCTTAGTCCTTTTTTAAAAAAGATTTTATGTGGGATGCCTGGGTGGCTCAGTGGTTCAGTGTCTGCCTTTGGCTCAGGGTATGATCCCAGATTCCCGGGTTCAAGTCCCATGTCCAGCTCCTCTCATGGAGTCTGCTTCTCCTTTTCCTATGTCTCTGCATCTCTGTCTATGTTGTCTCTCATGAATAAATAAATAAAATTTTTTAAAAATAATAAAAAGATTTTATATATGTATGTATTTATTTATTTAGAGAGAAGCAGAGCAGGGGTAGAGAGAGACACACACACAATCTCAAGCAGACTCTGCTTCTGAGCACTGAGATTGATGTGAGTCTCAGTCTCACGGCCCTGAGATCAGGACCTGAGCCGAAATCAACAGTCAGATGCTTAACCCACTGAGCCACCCAGGAGCCCTGCCTTTTTAACAAATGGACTAAGGAACTTATTTTAAGATGGCAAGATAAAAAATAATGTGGTTTATTTATTTTTTAAAAAAAGATTTTTATTTATTTATTCATGAGAGACATAGACACAGGTAGAGGCAGAAGAAGGGTCTACACAGGGAGCCCAATGTGGGACTCAATCCCGGGTTCCTGAGATCACAACCTAAGCCAAAAGCAGACACCCAACCACTGAGCCACCCAGGCATCCTGATAAATGTGGTTTCAACTGAATTTTATAGTAACTTGTCTGTCAATAGTTGCTAACCTTTTTCTCTTAACAATGTAGCTATCTTAGTACTTTGCCTTCTCAACAGAGCACCATGTCAAGACTTTTCAGCCTTTTCAAGGCTCCTCAGAAAATTAGTAATTAATGTGGTTGCCTCTGGCTTTGTTCTGTTTCTAGCCAAGAATAAGGAATAAGGGGCTTACTTTTTGCTTCCTTAGTACTTACAGGATACAAGTAAAGAGTGTTCTAATTGCAATTGCATGTTTCCAGTACTCTTTTTAACTTACCCTTCATTGTCCTTCTACCCAGTGGCATGGTTGCTCTCTGATATTTGGCGTTGTAGATCATTTAAAACAACATTTGCTCACTGACCATACGAATCCAAACTTTCAAACTCTGAAATGCCGCTGGAAGAACTGTGACGCTTTCTTCACTGCTAGGAAAGGATCCAAACAGGTGTGTGAGTGGGACCTGAGGCCGCCCTGGGGTCATTCTACCGTTCAGAGCAGGCAGGCCTTTTTTGCCTTGTTAAAATGTTCAGAATTGCAATCAATTGGGAGAGTCTAGGGATTTTCCTTTTTATTATTATTCAGAGATTTGGGGAATAGCTTAATGAGGTTTCAGATGATGAATTAGGTAGTTTTTGAGAAAGAGCCTAATGAGAATGTTTTCAAATCTAGTAACTGAACCTACAGGTTTATTACAATGCTCCTGTGTAAGATAAGAACTCATCTTTAAGTGTATAGTTTTATATGAGTTAGCAAAGTGCTGGGTCCTGACTGCCTTCCATTATATAGATCTTAGAATGTGCCCTGAAGCTCCCCTTGGCTTTGCCTTTCTCTTAACTACCAACTTTTCTCTCATGGGCCCTTTTCCCTTTATTCCTAGGATGCTGCGGGACACATTGAACGACATGCTGAGGATGACAGCAAAATTGATTCATGAAGTTTTCTGCCTCCCACGTTGGGAAGTTATCACTTGAACTAATTTTACATCGGCCCCTCACAGAGGCCACAGTCCTCCCCTCCCCGAGAAGCAGGGAAGGGGAAAGTGGTTACTAGCCAGGCTTACCACTCACATAAGTCTGGGCAGCTCTATGGGATGATAAAGACACTTTAAGTTATTACTGGAGGTCTGTCAGATTTAAACAGATTTTAAGGAACCATACTTCTCTGGAACAGCATGGAATATAGTAATCTATGCTACTAGTATTCTCCAGATGTTTATTAAAGATACAGATCTTAATTGGCTACCCAGTTTGACCCTAATCATATGTATTTTTTATTGATTTCAGTTTGCGATTTTTAGTTTATGTTCTTATGATGGTTTAAACCCATAGTCCGACTTTTAAGTACCAGTTTGTGCAAATGATAGATTTTTAGGATCACTTTTAATTTCTTTAGTTCTAATAACTGGGTATTTAAATTAGAAGCAGCTAGTTTCCTTTCTTAACAATTATGTGCAGCGTGTTTCACTATTCTCTTGCTTTGTAGATGGACAGAGGTGGCTTTAAATGCCAAAGGGACACACAGTGGATTTTTAACAGCTAAAGTGACTATTCTGCTGGTTATATTTTAGGAACTTGGCAAATCACATACGGACAAGTCCTCACAGCACTTCCTGTTGAACGTCTGTGCCAGTTTTGATAGGAGTGCTCAGTTCAGGGCAGTGCACAGACCTAACATCTACCTTGACTTGCTGCTGTTAGGCCCAGGCGATCACAGCTGCATGTGTCGTCAGGCTGTTCAAACTGGAGTGTGGCGTTTATCTCTTCCTTTCCAGGTTCTGACTCTCCAGGCCTGCTGCAGGTGTGGAACCTCTTAGTTTGCTCCATTGCCAATCCCTCCCCTCCCACTTGCCATCAAATACTTCCCCTAGGCTCCCAGGGTGCTTTCCACCCACCTGCAGCACCCAAGTTGGGGTAGTTAGGATAAAGTATCTGCACACAGTCTTTAGGGGCTCAAGCGGGCTTCTTAGAGATTGATTTCTGAAACAGAAGTCTTACCTTCAGCTCCCCTCTAGCTGACAAAGAAGAGTGGAGTATGATGAAGGTAAAGACTCAACTTGTCCATGGAGAGCAGCCAGATTAACAAAGCCTAGTGAGACTACTTTGTTTTTGGATTTTTCTGGACTCTAGAGAGAAGCTGTAGAAGTGTTGCTTTCCAGCCTTTTGTTTCTGGATTCTCAAAACTCTGAAAGATTCGTCAGAGAACTAGGAGAAGGGACAAGAGCCCTGTGCCACATTCAAGACTGGGGGATGTGATGTGTACGTTTTCTAGGATTGCATAGCATGCAGGTTTATCTCCACCCCTGTAGTGCACACACACCTACTCACAGGTCTTCACTCAGGCTCAGGGCTGGGGCTTTACCAGGGCTTCATGGATGGGTTTCAAGAGGGTATAAAGTTATATGCAAGACTAAGTATATGGGTCCCCCCCCCCCCCGCCGCCCCACCCAGGAAAGGCTCCAGTGATTCTTACTGGAGCCATAAACAAAGAGCTAATCTAGGAGCTACTACTAAATAATGAATAACCCCACAAACTATTTACTTCTATCCTTATGAACGGTAAAACTTTTTTTTTTACATTATTGATAGTTGCATATTTGAGAGAGAACAGAGAAGATTCTCTTGCATAAAATGTATTTGTGCTGTTTCTGTCTGAGATTAAGAAGTTTTCTTACCTCTCCTCCCCATTTCTTGTAAGGATGACCAGAAAAGTCAGGCTGTTGTGTGGGTTTGGGAAGGGTGACTTCCCAGGAAAGCCCATTGTAATTTATTACTAAACGTGGCTTTTTATTTGGGGCTATAGTGAAGCTGCATTTCTCTGTTGACTGGGCAGTGTACTAAGAAAGACTTGCATGCTCTGTTGCATAGGTGCCCTTCTGTCCTGCCTGAGGGCATTTCTGAAAAGATGAGAATGGTGGAGCCTTTGTACAGCAGGAAGGGGTTATGTGAGGTATTGGGCAATCGTGGGGAACCTTTGAAGGTATGAACAGATTGTTAGAATCACTAACAACCGATTCGAGTTTAATTTTGGTAGAATTGTGCACAGTGTATCTGCCTTTGTGTGTGCAGGTGTGCATGTTCCTTGTATGTGTGTATGCGCGTGGGCACCTATATTTGTAATACTTTTCCTCATTTCACAAACATTTTCTTTGAAGCCGTGGTAATAACGTCTTTGTTTTAAGAATGGTAAAATTCTTTTAACCCCAGGTTAGTGTGTTATCCTAAATGCACTGTTCAGCCCTTGATTTAGAAATAAAGGCACCATAAGCATCTTGGCTGCTTATGGTTGTTTTACTGCTTTTTAGAGCCTTGAAAGTTATGCAGAACTTTGGCTATGTTTTGTCTTTTACAATGTTTTAACTGATTTTGTCCCTCCATCTTCCTTTAGAGAAGAGTTATGGCTGAGGTTTTTGTGTTGGTGTGTATTTAGTACTTAATGAAGGGAGGAAAGTGTTACATGACCTGACAAAACCCAACTCATTTCTTATAAGGAGTTGGAAGCCATTTTTAGAATGTTATCCTTAATCACCTGTGCCTACTTCTAATGGCTAGAAGCCAAGAAAACCATAGTATTAGTCCTGTTGTGTGCATATGCTAGTGTTTGAATGGCAGTTTACAACAATGTATCAGTCACTTCAAGTTTTATCCTAAAGTTTTTAATCAGGTTCAGACTGTGTTTTGACACACACCTCTTTTGAGTTATAAAGCAGTTAAACACATAAGAGCAAAGAATGATCTTGACCTGATGTTACTTGAATTTGAGGGAACGCCATTGCTACTATACTCCTGCTTTTGTGGGGGAAAATATATTCCTGCCCTAGAAGTTAGCAGTCGAGTGTTTAGCTCCTGACCTACCTATAATTTATAGGCAATATCATTGCTCTTTAAGTGATGATTTGCCTAACAAAGGGGCTTTTTTGTTTTGGTTTTGGGGTAGATTATACAGTAGACAACTTTAGTGACTAGGTATGTGGATGATATGGTGGGAGTAGGTGTACAACACTTAGTGGAATGGTATGGTCTATTTTATGGAAGAAAATTCATTGGAAGGGAGATCAAAGTATATCATGAAGTAGGATTTAAACAACACATACCCTCTGGTTTATGCACATAGCCGCCATTTGTATTCGCTGACTTACAAATTTTGTTTCTGCTACCAAAAGGAGAGCTCCTAGACCTGTTATGGAGGCCATGCCTGCCATATTGGTAAAACTATGATTTCATCCCTACCCCAAATCATCACAATCTTTAGGATTTCAGAGAAACTGTCTAATGGATTAGGATAGAAGCTATGATTGTAGGTGACTTGGGCAATACTGAGTTCCATGTGCAAGTGGATGTGAAATCCTGGTGTAAACCAAACATTATACTTATTAGACAGTAACCTCTACCCTCACCTCCAGCTCCCAAGTATATGGCCCTGCTGGGTCATATGGCAACTGAAGTTTCCTAGATTCACTTTACATTCAAGGTCGTAGCCCAGTTGAATTGGTGGGGGAGGAAGTCAAGGAGGAAAGGCTATTGAAGATCCTTCTCCTGCTTGAGAGAAATATATGTCCTAGAGCTGCTCCAGTACCCTTGGTATATGAATTTTTTTTTATATATTGAATATGGATTAGAAGAATGAAATCAGATGACATTTGACTGCAAAAAATGTTTATAGCTTAGCCTTCTTACATTTTGGTATAAAGCTGTGAACTTCATAACTTTGTAAAAGCAAGATATAAAGCAAATACAAGAGGAAAATAAAGTACTTTTACTAATTGTTTACTTTTGCTACCTTATCTGCATATTAATAGCCAGTTCTTTTTTTTTCCATGTTGGTATAGACAGCAAGAAGGAAATTGGATGGAAAACATAAAACAGTTATAGATATACCACAGACCATGGTCCAGATAAGTTTGGCAAACAGCTACATTTAAGAATTTGTCCAAGGTCATAAAACAGGTCATGTAGTTAGTGGAGGACCTAGGATTAAAACTACATCTTTAGGATTCAAGATGGCTGTGTAGGAAGACCCTGAATTCCCCTCTTCCCACAGATAACAAATTTACAGCTATATAAGGAATAATTTTCGTCCAAAAAGAACTAGATTAACAGAACCTCCACAACAAAAGATAAGAGATGCATTGAGACAGGTGGGAGAGGCAGAGACTCAATCTTTCTCTGGACCCTCCAATGACCCACTAGCAGGAAGGATCCCAAAAATACAGAGCTTTTCCTCGAAGAGTGAAGGGACTGTGCCCCACTTCAGGCATCCAGACCCTTGTATCTGGCACCAGAAAGATAAGCTCCCAAAACACCTGGTTTTGAAAGTCAACAGGAATTAAGTCCAGGGGAACCATAGAACTTTTTTCTTAGAGAACAAAGAACTTTCTCTTAAAGGACTCACACACCCATGCACTCATCCTGAAATCCACTGCAAAAATAATTTGAAAAGTGCCTAGATTGTAACCAATGGAGAGACCCATTTGCTAATCCTAAAGTGGCTGCAGGCAAGAACCCACAGTGATTTTCTCTTGGATGGAAGCACTGGCTGATGCCATTTTTGCAATCTCATTTTGACTGTGGTAACAGAGCTGGTAGGCACCATGTTTGGTGCCCTCTCTCTAGCCTCCTAGTGCTGGTGAGCATGTTCCTTGTCCCACTGAACCTGTGTAAACAGTCGCACCATGACTGGGCCAAGTGAGTACATCACATCTGGGGCTAGGCATGTTCCATGCTCACCTTCTCTGTGCAGCAGCTATGCCACAACCAGATGGACTCAGTAGATATATACTGAGAACACTCCAAGCAGCAAAATACACATTCTTCTCAAGTATACATGGAATGTTAGCTAGGCAGTAAAACGAATTTCAATAAATTCAATATTGAAGTCATATCAAGCATCTTCAACTACAATTGTATGCAACTAGAAATCAGTTTTAGTAAGAAAACTGGAAAAACCACACAAATATGGAGATTAAACAACATTCCACTTAAAACTCAGTAAGTCATTGAAATCAAAGGAGATACAAAAAAAAAAAAAACCTAGAGACAAATGAGAACAGAAATAATCTCAAGTAGTCTAATGGTTATAGCTAAAATAACAACAAAAGGAAAAAACAGGTGCCTGTGTGTCTCAGTTGGTTAAGCATCCGACTCTAGATTTCAGCTCAGCTCATGATCTCAGGGTTGTGAGATTGAGCCCTGATTGGGCTCCGTGCTGGATGTGGATACTGCTTAAGATTCCCTCTCTCCCTTTCTCTACCTCCTTCCCCCCACTCATGCATGCTCTTTCTCTCTCAAAAAAAGAAAAAAAAGGAAGCCCAAAGTAAGTAGAAGAATGGAAACATATATAAAAAATAGAGACTACCAAGACAGTAGAAAGATAAATGACTAAGAGCTGCTTCTTTGATAAGATAAAACCGACAAACCTTTAGCTAGAGTTACCAAGAAAAAAGAACTCAAAATCAGATTTGAAAGAGGATACATTACAAGTGATAGCACAGAAATACAAAGAGACCACTATCAGAGACCACTATGAACAATTATACACCAACAAATTTGACAACCTGTAAAAGATGGATATATTCCTAGAAACGTGCTGAATCAATAGGAAATAGAAAAATCTGAACAGACTGATTGCTAGTAAGGAAACTGAATCGGTAATCAAGAACCTCTCAACAAACAAAAATCCAGGACGAGATAGCTTCACTGGTGAATTCTGAACATTCAAAGAAGAATTAATACCAATTTTTCTCATATTCTTCCAAAAAACAAAACAAAAACAGAAGAGGGAACATTCCCAAACTCATTTTATGAGGCCATCATTATCCTAATACCAAACCAGACAAGAATTACTAGAAAATTACAAGCCAATATACCTGATGATTATACATTCAAAAATCTTCAACAAAATATTAGCAAATCAAATGTGTTTATTAAAAAGGTTATAACCCTAAAAATAAAAAAATAAAAAGGTTATAACCCATAATCAAATGGGATTTATTCCAGTGATACAAGGATGGTTCAACACCTGTAAGTCCATATAATTCACATTAACAAAAAAGGATAAAAACATGATCATCTCAATAAATGGAGAAAAAGCCTTTGACATAATTCAACGGCCATTTATGGTAACTCAAAGGTGGTGGGTATAGAGGGAACATACCTCAACATAATAAAGGCCATATATGATAAGCCCACAGCTAACAACATACTGAGCAGGGAGGGTACAAGCTTTTTCTCTAAGATCAGGAACAAGACAAAGATGCCCACTCTCACCACTTATCAACATAGGAATTAGAAGTCCTAGCCAAAGCAATTAGGCAAGAAAACGATATAAAAGGCATCCAGATTGGAAAGGAAGAAGTAAAACTGCCACTATTTGCAGATAACATGATATATATATATAGAAAATCCTAAAGACCCCACAAGAAAACTTAGAATAAAAAGAATTCAGTAAATAAAGTTCAGGATATAAAATCAACATACAAAAAAATATATTACATTGCTAAACACTGATAATGAACTATCCAAAAGAAATCCATCCAAAAAACCCCATTTAAAATTACATCGTAAAGAATAAAGTGCCTAGGAATGAATTTAACCAAGGAGATAAAAGATGTATACACTGGAAACTACAAAACATTAATGAAAGAAACTGAAGACACAAATAAAAAGAGATTCAGTGCTCATGGATTGAAAGAATATTGTTACAATGCCGACATTACCCAAAGCAATCTACAGATTTCAATGCAATCCCTATCAAAACCCCAATGACCTATTTCACAGAAAAAAAACAATCCTAAAATTTTTATGGAACCACAAGAGAACCCCCAAACCCAAAGCAATCTTAACAAATAAGAGCCAGGCTGGTTACTACCTGGGTACAAACTATTCTACAAAGCTATAGGAATCAAAACATGGTCCTGGGGCACCTGGGTGGCTCAGTGGTTGAGCATCTGCCTTTGGCTCAGGTCATGATCCCAGGGTCCTAGGATCAAGTCCTGCATCAGGCTCCCATTGAGAACCTGCTTCTCCCTCTGCCTATGTCTCTGCCTCATTGTGTCTCTCATGAATAAATAAGTAAAATCTTTAAAACAAAACAATATGGTGGCACAAAAACAGGCACACAGATCAATGGAACAGAATGGAGAGTCTAAAAATAAACCCACACCTATATGGACAATTAATTTCTAACAAAGAAACTGAGAACATACAATAAGAAAGGACAGTCTCTTAAATACATGGTGTTGGGAAAACTGATCAGCCACATGCAAAAGAATGAAACTAGACACTATCTTTTACCATACACCAATATTAACTCAAAATGGATTAAAGACTTGAATGTGAGACCTGAAATCATAAAGTTCGTAGAAGAAAATGTAGGTGGTAAGCTCCATGACATCATTAGCATTAGTTTGTTTTTAACATTTTATTAATTTTTTCATGAGAGACACAGGCAGAGGGAGAAACAGGCTCCATGCAGGGAGCCCGAAGTGGGACTCGGTCCGGGGAGGATCAGGATCATGCCCTGGGCCGAAGGCAGGCACCAAACCGCTGAGCCACCCTGGGATCCCCTGTTTTGTTTTGTTTTGATGATTTTTATTCAACAGAGCACAAGCAGGGGGAACAGCAAGGAAAGGGAGAAGCAGGCTTCCCAACAAGCAGGGAGCCTAGCCTGATGTGGAGCTTGATCCCAGGACTCTGGGATCATGACCTGAACCAAAGCAGATCTTAACCAACTGAGCCACTCAGGCACCTCTTAGCATAGTTTTTGTGATCAGATTCCAAAGGCAACAGAAACAAAAGCAAAAATAAACAGGTGGGGCTAGATAAGCTAAAAGGTTTCTGCACAGTAAAGGAAACCATTGTTAAAATGAAAAGGCCACCTACTACCTGGGAGAACATAATTGGAAATAATACATCTGATAAGGGGTTCATATATAAAATATATGAAGAACTCACACAACTCAACAACAACAACAAAACCATTTAAAAATGGAGAGAAATAGATATTTCTCCAAAGAAGACATTCAGATGGCCAAAAGGTACATGAAGATACTCAACGTCATTAATTATTAGGGAAATGTAAATGAAAACCACAGTGAGTTATCATCTCACATCTGTCAGAATGGCTATTATCAAAAAGATAAGTAACAAGTGTTGATGAGGAAGTGGAGGAAAGGGAACCCATGGACACTGTTGGTAGATTATAAAAGTTGGTGCAGCCACTATGGAGAACAGTATGGAGATTGCTCAAAAAATTAAGAGACCATGTGATCCAGCTATTGAACTACAGAGTATTTATTTGAAGAATACCAAAACACTAATTTGAAAAGATATATATACCCCTATGTTCACTGCAGCATTATTTACAATAACCAAAATACGGGAACAACCTAGATGTCCATCAGTGGATGCGTGAATAAAGAAGCTATAGCATATGTGTATGGCATACTACTGAACCATAAAAACATAACGAAATCTTGCTATTGGCAATAGCAAAGCTGGACTTTGAGAGTATTAAGCTAAATGAAGTAAGTCAGAGGAAAAAGACACAAATACTGTATGGTTTTGCTCATATGTGCAATCTAAAAAAAAAAAAAAGATACAGAAAACAGATCAGTGTTTGTTTACCAGAGAGGAAGGGGTTTGGGGTTGGTGGGGGAGTGAGGTGGGTGATAGGCATGAAAGGGGGTCCATGGTAGGGTGATGGATAGTAAGTAGACTTTTGGGTGATCACTTTATAGTGTATACAGATGTCAGATTAGTGTTACAGTT